GTGCAGTATGGCACTGTGTCCTCTCCCTCTGCCCTGCCTCCCCATAGGAAGGGACGTGCCAGTGATGCTCATCCTGTCCCCCAGCAATGTGCTGGGGACCTCTGCGTGGTGCACGGCGCCTTGGAGAGTGGCACCCAGGGGCAGGAGCACGAGGCAGGGAGCAGGTGATTTGTTTCAATGTTTTGCTGAAGTGGTGTGGCAATTCCTGACCAGCCGGAGAAGTGGAAGATGCAGTAATTCCAGCACTGGGGTAGGGGCTCTCCTGCCCCTCATGGGCGTAGATCTGCTCTCCTGTGTTCCCACAGCAACAGGGAAGCAATCACATTTCCTCCTCCTCGGCTGCGCACGCCGATTAAAATTGCACTCATTGCGAGCGCCTCAACTCAAGCACCCAGCCCTTTAATTGCTGCAATGAAGGATACGAATGCAGGCGATTCTGAGGCCAGCAAAGCAGAAAATTAGCATTTAGCGTGAAAATGATACCACTGCATCTTCACCAGCACAAAGCAAACAACACGACTTGCCAGGCTGCCTCTTTCCCTCCCTGTCTGCCTGCTCGGACTCATCAAGTGCTGCAACGGCCCCATGGCTTCCTGCACCCATGGGTCCTGCCCCCGTGGGGCTGCCACCAGGGACCCCTGGCAGGCTGGGGGCTGCAAGCCGGCGTCTGCTTTCCACCTCTGGACTTTTGATGAAGCAGATTTATACACTCGCTTCTGAGATAATCCTCCCTCAAATGTCAAAAGTGCCACATTAGCCGCTGCATTGATTCCTGCAGTATTTACAGAGCAGAAAAATGCAGAGGCAGTGAGCACGTGGCTGGAGGGAAGAAACCGGCACCCTTGGGGTGTCCCTGCGGGTGAATCATCCCTGTCTCAAGCCAGGAGTCAGATCTTCACCTCCTCCAGACCCTTAACTAGCTTTCTCCATCGTTAGTGGAAATTCCCCTCAGGCCTTTTCACCTCTTTGTTACCTAGGCTGTATTTTTGCCTGGTTGGACACAAATAAACATTAAAATGCTGTGTCCGTCCAAGCACAAAAGGAAAAGCTGTTTACCAGCCAGGCTGGGATGGAGCCAGCACCCCCAGCACCAGAGCTTAGCCTGCTGGTGGGTCCCACTAGATCAGGGTGTCAGTTTGGTGGGATGGAGGCGGTGGCTCTCTGTCTGTGGTGGTAACTGAGCAGGAGTATGGATGAACCATGGAAAAAGCACTCTGTAGCAGGATCCACGGCCCCAGGCTTGACTCCAGTCACAGGCACTTCTTTGTTGTGAGGTACAGGGCTGTTCAGCCATCTCCACATGGGAAGTGACCAGGATTGAAAGCAAAATCCAAGTTACGGATCAAACTTCTAACAGGCTCCAGGATTGTGGGGACTGGGACAGGGGCTCATGGTTCCTGCTGGCTGTCTCCATTTGCTGTCCAAACTCCTGTAGGAGCAATGTTCAGATGGATGATAAATAACCCTCTGAATTCCTGAGCAGCACAGGGCTGCTCACCACACTTGCCTGCCCCAGCCAGGGCTCTGTATGCTGGTCATTTCTGCCATGCAGAGAGCTGACTTTTCCCTGGCCTCCCTTGTGTCCATGCCCAAGGGGGAATATTTCAACATGTTTTGGCATAGACCTGTGACCTCTTTGTGTTCCTGAGGGAATAATTGATGCTGAAGTGGCCACTCAGGCTTGCGCCACAGCTCAAGTCCCGAACTGCAGACAGACCAGTGATTTACTGAGTGCAAGCAGGGTCCTGGTGGTCCTCCATAGTGCAAGTACATGCATATACAGATGTGGTGGCTCCAGGTGCTCCAGGTCCCTGCATTCCTAATTGCTAGTTGCTCCTAATTTCCAGCCCTGTGGATACTGGTCCCCCAAGCAGCAGCCGTGAGCATGCTGCAACGGCTGATGTGGGTTGCAGCTGAGCCATGCCTGCCTCAGGCTGTGATGCTTTGAGGTTGCCCCTTGCTTCAGGCCCACAGCTCATGGCTGGGACCTGGGGCTCTCCGCCCCGGGGTGAGCAGAGACCTCTGCAACTCATTGCAGCCAGTGATGGAAATGCTGCCCGGGCATCGCCTGATCAGTGCTGCGGGGACTACTGGTGAGCGTTGTCCTGCATCAGCAGTTTGGGGTGTTTATTGTCTTAATATTCACTTGAAAAACAAGACCAGTGGGAGATCTGGCTATAAACGACAGCCACCCTGAAACAAGTACATGCCTGCGCCCACATATACGCACAGACACTCACACACACACACACACAAAGCAGCAGTGACTACAGAAGCATGAGAATAAATATTGAGCAGACACTGAGGGATTTTCAGAATAGTCTCTCTGGTTTTTTTTATTCAACGCTGTGTTGTTTGTTGTTCTTGTTTTGTGGGGATTTTTTTTTTGTTTTTTTCTTCCTGATTTATTTCCTATGCTGGGGCTTACTGTACCAGCAGAAACTAATCAGTGGCCAATGATGATTAACAGCCTCTCACATGTTATTAACTCTGCATTCAATGGAAGGTCATTTTTAAAGACTGTGGCAAGTGTACGAGGGACAGTTTTATATACGTAGAGGGAATATAGACACAAAAGCGGATGTTTTATCCATGCCACCCCATTCACATTGTACTTGAATCTTTCTTAGAAATATCTGTTATCTAGAATGTGTGCAGTATTTCTGTGTGAAGATCACATCTTGAAACAAACACTTCATATGGCTGAGATAAGGAGGTGGGAGAAGTGCATAAATGGGAACATAAATTAACTGTGTTTGTGAAGTTGTAATTGAAAAGATAAATGGGGTCATCTGCTTTCATTGTTATCATCCCAGCAATCATTAGATGCAGGGAGTTTTAGAGGAAAGCCCACCTGCTACTTCACGTCGAAACGTGTGATAGCTCAAAAGCAAGGCTTATACCAAGGACTTGCAGAGCAATAAAAATGCCTGCCTGTGTGTGGACCACATACCTTGGGTTCTTGCGTGATGTTTCTCCCTGTGTGTGGGCAGGTAGCTCTCTCCTAAGGAGGCACTTTGCAGTTTAAGGGCAAAAGATTGCATTAAAGATGTTTCCCTGGAAAATATTTCTCTTTGGATTGCCATCTGCACGGCCAGTGGTATTGCTGATGGCTTGCTTTGAAGCAGCATCTTAGCCCATTGGTGTGTTCCTGACTGAAGACGGGGTGGCTGCCCTGCCTGCTTGTGCTGAGTGGCTGCCAGCCCCCTTTTTGGAGATACTCTGCCAGGCTCTGCGAAGGGACAGTGCTGTTCCCTTAGCAGCAGTCATAAGAAAGATAAAAAGAGAAAGAAAAAGGTGTCAGCAGTGCAATGACAGGCAGCAAATCCCATTGCACCATGGTCAGCACAAACAGGTAACTTACAGTGCAAAAATTTCATCCAGGATGAATAAGCTGGAGCAAAAGGGAGGGGAAGAGCTGCTGGAGGAGCTGCTGTTGTTTTGTGTGTTGCACTGTGTGCATCGACCCTGGCCTGGCAAGCAGAAACAAAAAAAACGGCATCTTTCGAAGTTTTCAGAAATAATAGGCAGCTAAAACGGTGTTAGCCAGAGGGGTTAAAGTACTCTGGTCTCCAGGAAGATGTCCTTAGGAAAACAGTGCCTCTCCCCCTCTATCCTTCTGCTCCGTGGACCGTGAGACAAATGCAGAACCGTATCTGCTGACTTTGGTGAGTACAGACAAAACTAAGGGTAAAGATTTGTATTCCTCTGTGCCCAGCAGCACTGTGCAGCGAAGGGGGAGCGCGAGCTGGAGCCTGCTGTGGCTTACATGGCAACAGCCCAACTGCTAATGGGAGCAACTTTGTGAGGTGCCGAGTCCTCCCTGCTCCTACTAACATCACGAACACGAAAGATGCTCAGCAGCTCTGCTGATACGCAAAGCGATGCTGAGGACGTCCCCAGCCATAAGGTCCATCTGTGCAATCCCATCGCTGGCATAAGAGAAAGGGCAGAGCCCTTATTGCTGGGACTGCTGTTGGAGCAAAAGCAGAGGCACGTTGCAAAGTGGAGGCTGGGATGCTGGTTTTGGTGGGGGTGAAAGCTCTTTACTTGTAAATTGAGCACATCTGCTCTGGAAGTGGTCGGGAGGCATAAATATTGATTATCACATTGCCAGCTTGCGTACAAAGTGTGACAGGATCTTAGCAGAAATAAACAGTGGGCTTGGAAATATGCAGGAAAAGGGAAAAGTTCTAGAGGAGAAACATGTATGTCTAAATGAGATGGAAGAAATGAATGATAGTTCAAAGATACTGAGATACTGAGTTCCTACTGGAAACCCATCCCTAGCAAGGAACAAAAATAACATGGAAAAAACTGAGAAGGCAGATCTTTTAAAATAAAGTATTCATGAAGACCAGGGAAGGGAATATTTGGAAAGTCAGATCACATGCAGATAAACTGAACTTGATGGCTTACATCCAGGGGCTTGACTTTGCAAAGAACCAAGCATTTCCTACAAGGTGCACTGTGTGTTTTGTATCACGGCTAGTCAGAAAACCAGTGGGGTTTAATTTTCCTTCTCTCTGTAAAATTCTTGTGATGAGAACAAGCAAAGCAAAGCCACTTACCTCCACGTCTTCCATAACGAATGTTGAGTTTTTAGTTATGTTTGCCAACATCATCGCTCCTGAGCCGCTGCTATGACGCCTTTTGCTCTTGTTGCATGGCGGGTGTGCAGGGCACATCTCCTCTGGCACCTTGCGGGCACCTCACTGCCTCACCTGAGTGCCTTGAGGGATGGCCAAGGGGCCTGGTGTCCTGAGGAGACAGTCACCAGGTGTCACCCAGAGCACAACACCTCTGTGATGCCCTGTGGGGGCATTTTGGACACAGGAGAGCCACTTTGGCAGGAATCATTTTGGTCTCAGCCAAAAGGAAAAGTAGAAAATTCCTTGGAGACATCGAAGGCTTCTGCTTTATTTTGTCTGAAAAAATTATTTTCCTGCTTAATGACACTTTCAATTTCGCCCCCGCCCCGGCCTGCTCAACTTGTACTAATTTCACAGAAAGCTGGTGTTTTTCAGTCCTTCACAAAAAAACCCAAACCCCACCAAAATGCAGAAAAACTACTCCAAATGCACAACACTACTGACTTCCCATGAAAGAAAACAATGGTCACGCTGGCAATTATTTCCTATATGTCTAATTTTGTAAGGAAACTTTTGGTCATACTAAAGAAGACAGATGAAGATGGAGAAGCCATGAGAAGAAGCAAACCTAGCAGTATGCTTTGTTCATTTGTCAACGCTGAGATAGTGTCTCTGAGTACAGGAGAACTACTAAATATGGGCAGGTTGGAGCTGGTGAGGATTTTCTATGCAAGAGAAGGTGGGAAGCACTCAGGACAGGCTCTTCTCTGCAGCTGCAATAAACCACACCAGGTGGGCCCAGAGGCCAAGGTGAGAGGGGAAAATGTACAGAGAGGACTTAGAAAAATGAACAAAAAAAAATTACTGAGAAGAGGTGAAGGAACTGGCTGCCAAGCCAAGATGAAAAGAACTAAATCCACCTAGCTTAGTGGAGCAGCAGCCGTCCGTAGTGGTGTGCAAGCATGTGGAGGAGCTCAGCATCGAGCAGAGAAAGAGTCTGCTTTTGGTGGCAGACACGGGGGAGAGCCAGGCACAAGGGTGACATGGCAGGGGGACAAAACAGAGATCTCGGGTTAACAACAGCAAAGAGTCTCCTGGCAGGAGCTGCCTGCGATATATTCCCCCGTGGGAAGTGGGGAGTACGGGAGGCTGAAAAGATGCTTGGGCAAATCCTGGCTGCCCTCAGGTGTTGTCTGGGAGGTGGGTGGGTGATGACAGAGGTTTTTTCTGGTGTCAACCAACAGCCAGGCATAGCTGGGAAAGGCATCTCTTGCCAGGAGAAATGGCACAACCTGCCCCACCGCAAAAATCCCCAGCAAAAACACAAAGCATTTGCTGGGTTTTAGTATTCTGCTTCCTCTTTGGGAAGGATGGATGTTTCCTCCTTCTTCTTCAAACAGTTAGTAAATAATTAAAAGAGAGAGACAAAATATTCTCTAAAGATAACCTAGTCTTCTGTTTCCATGGCAACCTCCTTCCTAAGCCAGAAGCCTTTTGCTCGAGTCATACGGTGGAGGGTGAAAGCCCTTTTGCGGGGAGGTAGGAGTGGTGGCATGACCCTGCTAGGAGGCGAAGGGGAGACATCGTGCAGAGCCAAAGGGCTGTCATGAATCCCAAACTATGAGGGAAACAAAGAAGTTTTTCCTTGTGAGTCACTTCCAGAGACAACTGAGAATAAGCTGAGAGCATCCATTCTAGGGGCTGTAAGTCACCCCATGAGGTCACCACCACCATCTTTCCCACCATCCTTTGACCCTTCTCCCCTCCCAACTATCCCAGGCACATACCGTACTTCTATCATGACCAAATATCAAGGTAGCTTCTAGCATTGCACTGATCTCTGACCTTTCTCCCATTCTTCAGCTGAAATGTTTCACAGCCCACACAACTGCCAGGACAACTTGGTGTCCCACCTCCAAGTCCCCTTATGGCCACCTTCCAGGAAACACTTTGCATTGAGTTGTCTGGATATGGATGGGTTTTAACTGTTTGGGCTTCTTCAGTAAGCCCTACCTCTGGCTTCAAAGCAGTTCCAGGTTTGAGTCTATGCCCTGTGCAGCCCAAATTCGTTGTTCAGCCATCCGGGGGCTGACTGCCCTCCTTCCCCAAGGATGTGAAACCACGTGTCTTGCCTCTCCTCTCTGCCCACAGGAGAGCAGGCAGGGGCAACTGACCCAAAGAACCACCAGTGCAAAAAAAGCATTTAAAGACCCTTATTATTGCTTTAATAAATCTGGATCAGCATCCTTTCTGCAAGGACAAGGACCCAGGCTCTCCTGTTCTCTCCCCACAGGCCTGACCTCCCTGCAGTCAGTGTGCACGCTTGCAACACAGCAAACACTCCTTCCAGCAAATAAATCAAGTCCACACAGTAATTATCCTTTTCCTGTTGGGTCCCATTTGATGTGTTTGCTGTTTACAGCCCCGGCTGGTAAGATGCAACAGCTGCTGAAAAATCAGACAGGTCACAATAAAACCAGAACATCTGTTTTGTATTGCCCACTTCACAATGCTTCACATGCCAGCTGGGAGAGCTTCGCGAGGATTGCAGGGGCCCTCTTGATCTGATGGAAAAAATGGGACACGAATCCTGCAGGGAACCCTGCTCCTTCTCTGAGCAGTGCACCAGCCTCCAAACCTCCCTGTCTCTAGTGGGCTGCTATCATCTCCCTACCATCCTTCTCAGTCTTCTCTGACACACCTTAGTGGAGATTCCCTGGGGTAGCAGGTGACATCTGAAATTCTTTCTGCTCCCCAGGTGGCAAACCTGGGAAAGGTATGAAACCTGGGAGTTGCCACAGGAGGAGATCCAGGCTGGCCCCGGCCAAGAAGGAGAGACATGCCATCGTGCTGCTGGAAAGGCAAGGAGGGGTGCAGCCTCTGGAGGCCGTGCTGCAACCACGCCAGGAAAGGATCCCATCTGCTGGATCAAATCCCAGATCCTGAAGCAGGGTCATGATTCGAGGAGTCGTTCTGCCCTTGCCCTCCGCACTGCAGCCCCCCCTGCTCTGCAAGGCAAAGACAAGGAGAACTGCAGTTCTCCTTCTCCTTTCTGCCCCATCTCTGCAGCTGGTGAGCCAGTTAGCCTGGACACAACACGCAATAAACATCCTTACATTTGCACACACACACACACACATACACACACGGGCCAATATTCCCTGCTCTCCATGGCCGCGGTTGGTGCTGAGCAGGACTCCGGTCGCAGCTGCACTGATGCCAATCAGGAAAACTCCGGCGGTTGAAGGTGATGCTGGAGAGGTGGCAGAGCTGCCACCAAGCCAAGGATGTTCTTGTAGGGTCTTCCTGTTGGGACTCGGAGCAGGATTAGCCCTCAGCCAGGGGACTGACTGCATTTTGTGTTGTTGAAGCCCCCTTTGCTTTTATTTGCCTTTTTTAAAATTCTAGTTTTTGTTTTAATATATATATAGCTATAGATACAAAAATAACAGATAGGTTTCTCTAGAGATGATTTTTGCACCTTTGGGCTTCTAAAGCAAAATAGCACAATTACTGCAAATGAAAGGGGGAAAAGTTCAATTTCCTCTCCCCTTTTTGCCCCCCCCTTCCCTTCCACTCTGCCTCTCCCACTCCAGATTTCCCCACACATCTTGTAATTTTTTTCCCTCAGCAGTTTTCTTTCTTTGGAAAATGAAAAAGACAAAATCAACCAAACAGCAGCAAAAATATGCCATGTAGCCTTCATCCCCTCCTCCCATGAGCGTGCCCGCTGTGTTCACACATTCCCTTCAAAGCAAGGCTTTTCACCTCAAAACGTTTCCTGTGCTCCATGGCTGTTTGCTTTTCCCTGCTGCCGGGGCCAGATTTCCACCTGCTGTAAATCAGCGTGAATCCACCTCAAGCCAGAGCTCTGCTGCTTTACACCAACAGAAGCGCACAATCGCATTTTGCCGATTTATGCTCGACCTGAAGATCTGGCCCACGATTTTTAATGTTTGAAATGGAAGCATGGACAATAAGGAAGTTCCCAGAAACAGGCAAGGCAAACCCCAGACGCCCTTCCCCTGCTGATCACTTTGCTACCCTTCCCTTCGCCCCCACCTTCCACGTTTGGCGTAGCACCTCCATCAGCCCCCGTTTCCTTGCTCCTCCTTAGCACTTTCTGAAATTCATAATCTCTCAGTAAAAAAAATAAATAGATCGATCTCTCTATATATGTATATGTATATAACTAAACAGCTGCCACGTGGCAGTCACCTGGCTGGAGGGTCCCGTCCCTCCCAGCCCCATGGCCTTTCCTTGTCACTATAGTCTCTGCGGTGATGGTCCAGGTCTTGCCCTCGGGCAGGACTGTTCCCGTATTGCTTGCACTCTCCCATGCCTCTGAGGTACGGTACCAGAGTATTTATTCTATATATATATATATATTTATGTATATATATATATTTATAAATTTTTGTTTGCCTGGTTCTTTTTCTTGCAAATCCTTTGGAATTGCTGCTGGGGAGAAGCCAGTGAAACACGCTCCCCGTCCGGCGGCCGAACGCTCCCTCCCTGTGCCCCAGGGACCCTCATCTGTTCCTCTTGCTGACTCCATCACCCAGCTCCAGCTCAGATGGGAGCGGGGAGCCACGGTCCCCTGTCCCCAGTCTGCCAGGGCCATCTGGCTCCTCTCCTTCCCCAGGCGACGGAGTGTCCTTGCAGAAGTCCGTCACCCAGGAGGGCATCGAGAGGAAGCCCCGGGGGTCAACGGTGTAGAAGGGCTTGGCGTGGTGGGCGGTGGGGCGGCGGGGTGAGGGGCTGGCGTGGAGGCTGCTGGTGCTGCTGCACTTCTTCACCAGCGTCAGCCCTGGCGGCGGGGGCGAGAAGAGGGAGGTCAGCGAGAGGCTGCTGAGGGTCTCGGAGGGCTCGCTGTTGTTGCCGCCCCCCCGCAGGCTGCTGCCCGCCCCCTCCTCATCCGAGGGGTCCATGGAGTCGTGGTGGGTGCAGCCGGGGCTGGTGCTCCCACCGCTGCTGTGGCTGCGCTGGTGCCGACGGATGCTTCGTAGGCTGAAGAGCCCCCGGCCCCGCAGGCTCCGGCGGCGGGAGGCAGGGGAGAGGGGGGCTGCCAGGGGTCTTTGGCTGTTGGCAGCTGGGACGGGGCACAGAGCAACTGGAAGGTCCAGGGTGCACTGGGGAGAGTCGCTGAGGTTGAGGCTGTCCTCCAGCGTGGTCTGTAGGCTGCCCGCTGAGCTGCTGCTCTGGCTGTCCAGCGAGGTATCGCTCTCGGGGGCCTGGGGAGCAGGAGTGTGAAAACACAGTTCTCAGGAAGGAGACAGGCAGAGGGCAAGAGACTTTGGGGGCTTTTGGGTTGTCTGGGTTTTGGAGGCTTTTTTTGAGTACTTTGGGGTGTGAAAATAAACCACAATTACAGAAAAGGGGAAAAACTCCAATTCCTCTCTCACTCTCCTCTGCTGGAGAAGGCAGCTATAAACCACCCAAGCAATGCTATAAAGCACCAGCCATGCAGCTTGCCCAAGAGATTCCCTCCTTGGGGGTTTGAAGAAAGGTTTCAATATTTTGAGCTCTGATTTCGTTCTGCTCTGTGATTAATCTTCCCTTTCCATGTGAACTGCCCCAGCAAAAGGAAGGGTTGCTGGGTCTGTGAACCCTGCAGCCCCTGCTGCTGGGCTGTCCTTGCCACTGGTTCCAGGAGGCAGTGGAGCCAAGTTTACCTGTGGGTCCCCACTCTTGACTTCCCTGTGAACCTGCCACACAGGCTATGGACACATCAAAACCATCACCTGGCCAGAAATCAGGGAACTTCTGTACATAGATTTCAGGCTTTGTACATAGTCCTCATCTCATTAAAAAATCAGAAATATCTGGGATGAGAAAAGAGGCCTCATGGTTCTTCTGACCAGCACTAGTGGCAACGATGGCATTTAGGGCAGAAAGATATGGTGCCCTTCCAGCAGGAAGAGGAAACAGCCTTAATTTCCTTGTATCAGGGCTCAGTTAGTTAACGTGCATTTCAGTTGTTCCTAGGAAACCGGTCTGCACTGTCAGATCATCACTGGGAATGATGCATGTAGGACTGGGAGCAGTCTCCTGAACCATAGCTATTCAATATAGTCAATCACATAAACAGAAGTCTACCAATTTCTCCTTTACAACAGTTGAGTACTTTTGCCCCAGTGGTATACCAGCTCCAGAGATCTTTCTCTTTATGTCTAAACTTATACCAGAAGTTTCAACACCACAACAACTCAGTGGCCTCAGTTCAAGGCTAAATTTATCCCTGGTGATTTTATACACATTTGTATTGTGCCAGCAGCGTCTGTCACATAGACCTGGATAATGTATTATTTTATTTTTAGTTTTCAGTTTGTCTGGAATAGAGTGTCCCTGTACCCCTCAAACAGGAATTGTTCATGGAGTATCTTCCAAGAATAATAACAGGGATCTTTATTGGACTTTCATCTCTGCCTCCTCTGCTCTTCAGGGACACTTGATCTTCCCTCAACACTTTTATTCTTCTCTTCCATTAGTGAAAAATAGCTGTCTTTTCAGAAAGAGATAGCACCTTTCTGGGACGTAAGATCTAAGTGGGCAGGGGAAAACAGCAAGCTCAGGGATGCGGTGTGTGGATGTGGCCCGAAGGGCTGTGGAGGAGGCAGGTGGGGAGAAGCCTGTTCCAACCAAGCAGGTGCATGATCCAGAGTTTGGGTGCTCAGAGGAGCAGGTGTCTGCAGCACACTCAGCGCAGGGGACCCAGGGGTGAGCTAAAAGGTGATGTGATTTCATCTTCATATGGGACTAGCTGCCGCTGTCAAACTAGTTTTTGATCCAAAGCAGAAGAACGTATGCTTTCAGGGGGTGAGAGCTGTACAACACCCCTTTGCTATACAACCCTCTCTCCTCCCCAGCCCTCCTGTACTCTACAGTCCACTGTGCTCTCCAACAGGTTAGATCCAGGTGACCCAGCCCGTGACCACAGCTGCCTCTCTCCTTCCTCTGCCCTCCTCCCCATTCAGCCCCCTCTGTTTGGATGTGATGTGAAAATCAAGCTTTCTTAGTAGAAGGAAGCGGGGGATCCTCACCTGGTGAAGAAGAGAACAGTTCACACTCGGAGATCTCAGTGATGCCCACGAGCCTTGCAGAGAGATCTTAGGAAGGTTGCGTGGACATGAATCTTTCTCAGGCCCTGTCTGTGTGGCAGAGATGGCTGGGTGGAAAAATTCTGCTGGTACAGGTAACAGAGGGCAAGCCGCACCTGGAGAGAAGGAGCTGGGAGGGGCTGACAAACAAAACAAAAAAAGTTGAAGAGTCCTCCAATTTGATGTGGTGCCTTTGCTGCTGTTACACCGAGGGTCCTGCAAGTCCAGTGGTATGGAGGATATTTAATAACACACCCTCCTGGCCAAGAAGTCTCAGTCTAGTGTTCACACTATAGGCCCCACTTTCTACACAAGGACCAAAACCTGCACCAGACCTGGAAGATCTAACATGGCTCAGAGCCATAAAGCACCAGCCCAGCTTGCCTCTCCCGTTGCTGCTCTCGCAGAGAAATGCTGAGCCATACGGCCTGGATTCAACTACGTATCACTGTCAGAGGACTTTCATCCCAGATCCTGCAAGGCAAGGGATGAAGGGAGATAAATAAACTGGTGGTTTGGGAAACCTGGGGACCAAAGGAGGCCACAGTGTGCTCTAAGAGTCGAACTGGAGCACTTCCACCAAGGGCAGACACATTATGTGTTCCCTGAACCTGTACCTGAGGGGGCAGCAATGTTTTACTGTGCCAAGTGAGCACAGTTCATCCAGCTGGCGTGTCAGCGGCGTCTGTCCCCAACTCTTCTCTGATCGTGCATGGGTGCACTACTGTAAATGGGAATCAGCTCTTTCATGATACTTCATATAGGCAAGTCTGAGGGAGGATATAAGATCTAGCAGCAAAAGAAGAAACCGGTCTTCACCCCGTTCCTGAGGACTGGCAAAATGAAAGCCAACTCTTGGTTAGTGAAACCCCACATCATATTAACTCCATTCCAGGCAGGAGGGACTCAGGAGAAAGGCAAATGAGCTGAACCAACTGATACCTTCAGCAGACCTGGAGAATGAAAGCCATGCTCACCTTTGGTACTTTCATGCTTTAGCCAAGACTGGACTGAGTTGAAAGGAGTTTTCTCCATTTCACACAGGTAACTGTCCGGGTTTGTAGAGCCATCTGCACTGGACATTGGGAGCAGGCATTCCCCCAGATCGCCTACCCCAGTGGAGTCAGGGCTGTCTTGGCCATCCTGCTAGAAAAAAATTAATGAGGACAAAGCTTTGTGAAATTTAATGGCAGATGACAGAGCAGATTTGTCAAAGCCTCAAGAAGGGCTGATTCTGAAGATACCTTCAGGCTAGTTAAGAGATGCTCAAGTTTCCAGCCCAAATCCTTCCTCATTCAGAGGAAGTTACTGACAATAGTGAAGAGAATTTTCAAAAACATACATCCCTGTTTTCTCATCAAATCCTTCTCCAAAATGTGTCTCTATGGAAAGGCTCTCAAACAGTGACCAGAATTTATATTCCTCAGCAGGGACACTTGCATAAATACAGAGCACTTCAAATGAGCAGGGGCAGAAATACAGTGCATGGTGCAATGTGCCTATGACCGCCCGGGGCTAACCTTGATCTCCTTAGGACTCAGCTGAGAGGTACTGCGATTCTCTGACTCATCTCCTAGAAGGATGGAAGAGGACTTGTCTGAGTTGAGGGATAATGCTTCCATTTCTGCCAGCTGGACCTGCAGGAAGGGAAAGGAGCTGTCACAGGTCATGCCTGGCATCCACATTTCAAGCAGTCACACTGTTTATGGTGGGTAAGTGAGAGCCTGTAGACCTCAGACCAGTTTTAGGTTATATTACTTGCATACACCAGGTGCTGCCTAACCCAGAGCTGGGCTAGGCAGGAGAATCCACTTTTTAAGGAAGGTTAAACATACGATCTGCAAGCAGCCCACCGCCAGTCCATGCTCCTCTAGTGCCAGAATTGGAGGAAGGAGTCCTGAATCTGTCCCAGCGATACAGCTGGCACAAGGCCCTGCAAGTAAAGCCAGGCAGGGAGAGGGCTCCCTCAGGCCGGTGACAAGGCAGTCTGCTCTGCTGAGGGATGAGGAGTGGGATCCTTCTCTCTGAAGGTGCCACAGACAGCCCTGCTTAGACATGAAGGTGCTTTCATTCCAGGGATAGCCATGCCTCTTGCAGTCCATGCCAGTATCATGCTTTTTATATTCTCTTACCTTCATCACTGAAACCCTGTTTCCTTCCAGCTTCCCTGTGTCTTCCCTCTCTCTTCACCTCTGTACTACCCAAGACTTCAGCTAACACCATCTCCCATCCTGCTCTCCATCCCTAAACTCACCCCTTCTTCCCACTCATACTTGTGCTCTCTTGCTTTCTGAAACCAGGTCTGACTACTGCATCTCTCTCATCCTTGAGCCTCAGCTCTCCTCCAGACCCATGTCTGACCTTGCCTCATCTTTTGGCCTGTTTCATACCACATATGCCCCTCCTATCCTCTTTCCTCCAAACTTTCAATTCCCCTCTGCCTGACATCTCTCTCCTCTAATATCTGAAAAACATCTCCTTTGCCTTAGTAGACTAAGCAACCCTCCTGTGCTTGGCTGGTCTCTAGAGTCCCACCCATTCCCACCACCAGCACCTGACTCTTGAGAGCTATATTCTGGGTTGTTTCAGTCAGGAAAACTTGCTTCCTGGCCAATTATTTTGTCCTCCCCTGTGCTAGTGTTTGCAAGAGGTGGGTACAGCTTTTGTGCTATAAGAATAGATGGAACATTTGGAGAGATGACTCCTTCGAGCTGGGAGTTTAGTGGCTTGTGCCGGTGCCAGAGACTGGAAGAGGTCTCCATCCAAGGGATAATGCACTTTGAATAAACAGGATGGAAAACCAGAGCTGGATTTAAATAAAGGGCACAAATGACATCCTTATTTGGGATATTATTCTGACACAGGGACATGGTGCCTTTAACCATGAAGAGATTCCAAAACCAACAACTACTGCTCAGAGCATGGATGCACTGGAGAACCCACAATGAAGTTATGTCAAGCACGCTATACACAGCCATTAGCCAGCAACTACATGTGGAGAGAAACAGAGTCTTCATTCAGTCCCACTTAATGTGCATACTCATCCATTACTCGCCTAAGTGCTTGTTACACCAGAACAGCCTTACAGCTGTGCTTGCAGACACAAGCGTGAAATGTGATAACATCTACAACTACCTTCTCCATCCATAAAAAAAGGGTTTCAACAAAAGCCAGAATAGTCTGTTCTTCACTGAACCCCTTGCTCACAAAATCTCACCAGCCTGGGTTCTACACAAAAAACATAATCAACAAAGTCATGAACAGATAAACGGCATGTGTGGAAACACAGTTCTCCGCTGCTCACTGGCAAACTCCCACCACTGGCTAAACACGCTATCAGCCACCAGTACACAGATGTCTAACTGTCAACTAGCCCAAGAGTGAAAGGATACCAATGACAAGAGGAGACATTAGTGGTACCAAAAAAAAGATGTTTTGTTCTTATTGCTTCCCCTACTCCAGAATATTTAAAAATCTTCTGATGAAAGATGAGGAACAAAAAATTTAAAAAATTGCAGTGTGGGCAGAAAGGGCTGTTCACTCAGACTGCAATTCATGAAAACTGCCAGGGACTTCTGAACCATCCACACACATCCCTTAGAAAATTACTAGTTGCAGATATAAAAGAGCCACAATTACAAAAATCCTTAATTGTACAAATAATTGGTTTGAAAATAAGATGCTAGCAGCATAACCGGGAAAGGCGCCGAGCACTTCTACTCAATGGAATAACAAGCTTAGCACATCTTAATATCTTTAAGTATACGTTTAAGTGTTGTGTCCATCCACTGTGCTGAGAATCTTGACAGATTAAACTACAGATGAAAATGGATTGAACATTTTTTGCTAATACGTGATTTTCATCATAGGGGCAGAGTCAAGGGTGATTTGGTGGGCAGGAAGCATACTATTTATTTTTTTTGAACACATATGTATTGAATAGGACTAGATAAAAACTATTTTGCCTATATAACTCACTGTCAGTTACTTCTGAGATGGTACACCTCTGTCTGTGTGTACAATGCACATTCATGTATGTTGATGTACCAGAGTACACTCCAATGTAATGATTGTGCGCATTGCTGGTGTTATTACTGGGATCAAGCCTAGCTGCGACTCGATGTAGTAATTTCCTGTTGAAATCATCTCAATGTTTTTTGTACTATGAAATATGAAGAGAAGGTCGTGATCAACCATAACTTACAATCCTGAGCTGTAGTTTTGATTCATAGGATCAGAAATAAAATATCTACATTTTACTACTAAAGTTATTCCTGCAGATACAGATCATTTCTTTTCAATTCCACATTTTAGATGTCTTGAAATATCAATTTTGAAAAATAATTTATGGTTCTATAGCAGCCATTAGAAGATATGATCTAAGAATAATTCTTTGGTTATGATTATTCTGTTAAACTCTTTGCTGTGGCTGTGGGTTGCACTTGAAAATTTTGCTGTCTAGTTTCCTTGCTGGGAAGGTAAGAAAATTTGTTGTTGTCTTTACTCCTAGGCAGGATATTGGAGATTATCTGGAAGGTTTTCCAATGCAGCAAAGTAGCTACAAATGACTTAAATTGGGGGAAATAATTCTGGAATGCTGTAGAAGACCTGATTTTCTGAGACTAAGTACCAACTACTGAATATAAGGACTTATGTAAAACAGTGGAAATTGCAGTTAATTGAAACTAGTTATTTGGCTGCATTAATGCAGTATCCAGTAGTGAAGCGTTGCAATACTGATAAACTACAGCAATGTTTGCATTTTGCTACTTTCAAAGGGAAGCTATGGGGACAAGCAGATAGCTGAAAGACTGAAAAAAAATTAGAGCATCAGAACTAGGCATCTGAAGCCAAATAAAATATTGTTTTCTTCAAACATGGATAGAACAATCTGCCAATAGGAAGTTTCCTTGTTTCTTTATAAGCAACAGCAACATATCAAGTTAGTTATGGAGAAGGAGATGGTGGAGACTGTCACTGATGTGCTGTCAGATGAGCCACACTACTGTTACAAGTCTGAGCACGATCATAGCACTTAAATACAATAAAATTATTTCAGAAACAAAATTAATCCTGCTACTCATCTAACTACTCCCAGACTACTTCGCTTCTGAAGTTCCACAACCTGAAAAGACTAATTGCTTAGGAAGTAGTTTTCTAAAGCATCTAACTTTAGAAGCACAAGTCTAAGCCATTTGGTGTCCTCTCTCAGCAACAACCCATTTGTCAGCTAACAGGTTCTACATCAGAAAAGAGACTCTCAAACTTTCTCAGAGGGCCTGTTTTTATTTAGTTTTTGCTCAAACTAGTTTTCACCACAAACCAATCCTTGCTCACAGACGGTGACTCTATTCAACAAGGCATTTAAGCATGTGCTTAATTCATCAACCTCAACAGGGAATAAAGAAGCACATGCTTAAAATGAAGACAAAACACGTGCTTAAATATCCCACTGAACTGCCCCTGAATGCTGTTATTGGGATGAGATTCTCTGAACCTTCGGTACAACATAAGCTTGAACCTCTGCTTTTCTTGCAGAATTGAACACAACAAGAACTGCCAGGACACCTTCATAGTCATTTCTCTACAGCTCATTCAGTCTCTTCTGACCTGTGTCCTGGCACATCTCAGCTTTCCACCACCTCAAACATCCCCCAGCAGTGGCTAAGGAGGGCAGGCCTGTACTAGAGGCAGTACCAGCAATTCGTGACAGACATCAAACACAGGTCAACGAGCTCTCTGTCTACACAATCTACAGCCAGGAGCACACATCAGACAACCTGAGGGCATGTGGGTGTGGGTATGCAGGTCTTGGGGGGGAGTCCCCTCACGCATCCTCGTACGCGGGTTACCTCTTGCTTGTCATGGTTACACTTCTCGCACATGGCCGGCGAGGAGTAATGATGGAAGACGGAGCCCGATAGGTTATCGATGATCATTAACTCCCCGTCGAAGGAGTCCTTAATAATTAAAGAGACACTGTCCAGCCATAAGTTCTCCTAGGGGACAAGAAAGGGGGGAGGATGGGAGAGATCATTTTAAGAATGCTGAGTTTTTTTGCTTCAAAGTTTCATGTGAATTTGGGGCTGGGTTCTCCACCCTGACTCATCTGGAGCAGCACCTTGTTCTGCAGGTACCTGCACAGGGTCACTGGGGGAGCATTAGCTCCTTAGAGTGTGTAAGGGTGCCAGAGTTCAATGAAGAAAAAAAAAAAGAAAAAAAAGAAGGAAGGATTGTCTTCACTCACTGTCAGTACACCATGGCACTCACACCTCCCTTCCAGCTCTGCTGGAGTGCCTCACTCTTGGTCTGTCATTTCTCCTCCTCTCTTCTCCTGAGCTTCCCTCTCAAATTTGCCCCTAACACACCTCTAAGCTGATCTGCTCCATCCTTCTTCTGCTGGCGCTCACGTTCCTACACTGTGATGACAATGAAGAGGACCCACCTGCTGTCATATCCTTGTCCCCACACAATGCTACCAACTCAAAAGTCTACCACTGAAAGCAAACCTCTCACCCTGAGGTGGAAGAGTCTATCTGCTACTGCTAAGCTCTTCTAGGCTGCCCAGCTTCTCCCCACAGTTACCTGCTGCAGTCTGGTTGGTAAGCTCAAAAGCGTACTCACCTGTGCTGGAGAGTAACATCTCATGCATAGACGTCCTTCAGGATCTGCTCTCCCACCACCTCCTCCTGTTCCTGCTCCTTTTCCCTGTCCTGAATTTGGGGAGCCTGACTTGCGGGAGCACAGTCCATGTGCAAATTCCAGCTCAATCTCAGCATCCATCTCTGCATCCTCCTGGGCCTCCTTGTTGCTGTCGTCAAGATGTTTCATGAGCACAGCTACCACCACATTGATGAGGACAAACTGGGCTGTGAGCACAAAGCTGACAAAGTACAGTGGGGAGATGAACTGCAGGTTGCTGAGGCAGCTCCGGTCATCGTGGCTGCAGTCACGCAAGGTATCCTTGAGGGGAAGTTGGGTTTGAGAGGGAACGATGGAAGGAAGGAAGGACTAAAGTAAGAATATAAGCTTGGCTGCTCTTTCTGACAAAAAACACTGATGTCAACAGAAAGAACAGAGCAAACCCTTTTATCACCCCACACCCTCTGGGATTATGAGGTCCTCAAAAAATCAAGGACACTATCCAATCATGTATTCTCAGCTTCAGAGCAAGTATGTCCAAAGGTGGACAGAGCAAACTACTTCCAAACCATCGCATGTTGCTGCCATTGTAGCCACACACACGTGAGCAAGAACAAAACCGAGCAGTCTGGTACTGCCTTCTCCCATTTGGACTCAAAAGCAACACATGTTCAAATAACTTTCCTCTCTCTCTGTCCTTTGAAGGAGGTAAGTATTTTTCATTGTCGTGGTAGCTCTGCAAATGGGTGCCATGTCCAATGCACCTATATTCAGCTTTGATAATAGGCCTTATGACAGTGGATATGCCCTCTTAGCCTGGATAGTCTTCTTGTTCCTCTCAGGGGCAATTTACATTTTTCTCAGCCATGTGCCTGTAGGACTAGATGAGCCCAAGGTCTGAGTTACCATGGTGGGAAGGGAGATTTTGGCCCAAGCAGGAACCATATCTAGCAATTCAGCTCCTGTGTTCCTCCCCTTTTCTAGCCCAAGCACTGCTAAACATAGCACACACACATCAGAATTTCTCCTTCCCCACAATAAGGACATCCATACTTCTGAGGCCCAGTTACCTTCATGATCCCATTCCAGTTGTCGCCTGTGGACACCTGGAAGAGTGTGAGGAAGGCCATCCCAAAGTTCTCAAAGGTGGCATGGCGGCTCATGCCTTCACAGGGGTTCTCATCATTGCATACTGAAAGCAAAGGGATCACAGCTATCAGTGGAGGACACACTGCTGACCCTGAGACCAACAGCTGAAACTGAGGAAGGGGACTTGAGGCTTCTCACAGCCTGGAGACCTCAGCTAATGGCCTCAGCACCCTGCCCAACAGTTGGTTGTTGCCCAGTAATACAGAAAAATCCCCAATGGCCCAGATGTCAAGCGGTGTAACTCAATTGCCCAGGGGAATCCTCCCAAGGTGTCATTGTGCTGCCTTTCTTGATTAATATTCCATGGCAAGAGACATAAACAAGCCTTCCCTGAGTTTTTCCTGTAATCTTGAAGGCAATATCAATATAGGCAGTGCAGAAAAAGTAAAAGTTTAAGAATGAAAGGGAAACCAGACACTGCTTTTATTTTGTTAGTCTGGTAGGACAATAACAATTTAGAGGGAAATTCCTCTTGTATCAATTACACATAAGGGAAAATAAAGGCCACAAAGTAATTCAGTCCCTTTATTGAATAAGTACTGATGAGAAACCTCAGCTTCCCAGCAGGTCTGTAGCTCAGACTGGAGCATAGTCTTTTTGAGACTTACCCAGTTTTCCAAAGAGCTCCACTCCTAGAGCAGCGTAGATGAAAAAGAGGAGCATGAAAAGCAGTCCAAGGTTTCCCACCTGAAAGCAAATGGCATGGTCAGCCTACCCCAAAGCCCATTTCATCTGTACAGGCAAGTGTTTCTGTCTTTCAAAGCCTGAAGAGAACAGCAGCAAATTCCACGTGTACAAATGCAACCAAACAATTGCTCAGCACTTGGGAAATCACTAGTGATGGCACCAGTTGCAACAGGACTTGAAGGATGCTCTTTTCCAAGTTGCCTCCACTCCAGGACAAGCTCTGGCCAGGGCTGACTGAAATGTGCAGTATCTGGGCCAGGTGAAGACAAGCATTTGGGAGCAGGGGCACCAAAGGTGAAGCCATTTTGGCTGGGTAAAGGACAAGCTATGGATTACAGCATAGAGACACATACTGCAGTGCTACATGCCCAAGTCCCCTGGAGGTCATGTGAAGAGCGCAATAGCAGTGCTCCAAAAAGACAGAGACACAGGTACATCAGCTCCTGCCTGAACCAGGCAGAGCTTGGTGGGGCAAAGCGCCAGTCATATGTGGAGACTACAGCAGGTCTTGTGGAAGGAGTAGGCAGGCGGGAAGGAAGAAGGGTAAAGAGGCCCTCTTCAAATGTGTGGAGAGGAGTAGAATAGAAAAGAGGAAACTATGAAGGAGCCAAGAGGGCAAGGAGAGCTTCCTTTGCATCTCATGAAAAATAGGTCAAAGTCCGATTTCTGGGCCGCCAGCAGCTGTCTGGAAACCCCCCAATGCAGAGATTGCTGCTTCATGGTGCACAAAGGCCTCAGTGCCACCAGCAACACAGGCACCACCACAATTCCTCACTCTTACAAATCACTGCTTGCCTCTCAATCTTCTGTCTCCCAGCATGTGGGGCAGCCAGGTTATATGTGAGGAGCAGGAGAGGGATTTGGGCAGGTTAGGCTGAACAGTAACAGAAAATTCTAATAATGGTTAGCACACTGTTAGTGGAGCAAGAGAAGGCGGGGAAAAAGTTAAGGACCTAACTGGTATATGGGTGTTTTCTGAAAAAACTGAACAGTCTCTGGTCTGAATGCATGTGGTCACTGGGCCTTTGTTAGGAACATCCACTTCAGGAGTCTAATTTAGTCATTGCAATTGCTGTGCCATCCAAATTCAGGAGACAAATGAATGATTCGGCCCACCCACTCCACCGGGCTGCCAGATCCTGGCTCCCCACACACTCTGTGGAAAGAATTATTTCTGATGACTAAATTGGACACCATAGTAAATGCTCTGAACGCACACCTCTGGGTCTGTGTCTACAGGGCCTTAAGAAAAAGAAGTTATTAAAACTTAGATAAGGGCTAAAATTCCAAAGGGCTCTTTAAAATTAAAGCTCTATTCACTATTAAGAATTGTTGCTGTATAACAAAGACAGGAAGGGAATTGAAACAGGACAACTGGAGACGCCTTATATGCCATTAGCAAGCCAAAATCCCTGATGTGAGTCTGTGCTCTAGGAACATAAAGAGAAAGGTCGAGAGGAGGAAAAAGCGCAAGGGAAAGGACAGCTTATTTTAAACTGCTTCTTTTGGCAAAGCCAATAAATCTTGGAGAATAATATTACAGATAATTCAATTGTCCCCTGAAGACTCAGTGTATAAAATATGGAGACTGAATTCAATCTTTTAACAGTGAAACTGAGGGATTTTAGCCCTGCTTTAAGTGCAGATTTTTACACAACTTTAACTATGAAGTGATTTTTGATCCCTCTGTTCTAGAACTTTATTGAACGAAGACAACCTGTTATAGAAAGAAGCAAAAGTAAATCTATAGGAAGTGGAATGATGATAGGCTTTGATGCTGCAAGGATTAAGCACTGCTTGGTATTACTTTCCAGGGAATACTTGGAGGCCAGACCTTTAGCCATCTGCTTGCGAGGGGTTTGTGCTGCCACACATTAACCTCCAAAAGATCTGACCTATCACCTTGATTAGCAAAGGAGCTGTAGGTGAATGTGAGAGACAAAGCCAGAATTTATAAAGTATGGAAGAATATACATCTGGTTTGTGGCTAGGACCAGACAGCAGGGCTCAGAGTCTTGACTTTGCTACACTGAGCAAAACACCTCACTGCCTGATGACTCAGTTTCTCCATCTACATGACAGGGATATCAATATTCCCTCCTCTCCTATTTATTATTTATATTTTGGGGGTCCTCAAACCTGGACAAAGTTAAGTGTCACCACTGAAGTGTAAATATACTGCAGAGTCCTCTTACTGAGGGCTTCTGGATACTGCTTCAGCCAGTTCTTAATATGTGGGCTGCATATATCTGGGTTGCAGAATAAGATGTCATAGACATGCAGATGCTGGATCTGAACCTGCTCCGTTCCAGATCCTCCCCTGAGAAAAATCAGCCGTTGTGGCTCCCGGAATGGAAAAGAGCAAGGTGCAAAGAAGTTGCACTGGGCCAGCCTGGAGCAGCAGAGCCAGAACTAATCAACATTACTGGCCCAAAGCTATAAGAACATGTTTAATCTCCCGTTTCTTCCATTGTCCAACGTATCTCAGCCCCCAACTATCCTAGATGATTGTATCATTATATATCCTACATATGAATTATATTATTATTATACAAAACCACAAATTATTATTGTTTAATAAAAAGCATGGGAGATCAGAGTGTGCTCAGGATCCATAAAAGATCAGAGTGTTTCCCCCTCTTTTTTTGTCCCACGAGATTCCTCTCATTCAGATCGACTTTTATTGTTACCAACATCAGAAGTAAATTCCTTGGGTAACTACTGCTGCTATTTTCAGATTGATTCTCAGCTCTGCTCACTCACTGAGACTGGCACATTAGCTGATAAATCAACTGACAAATGCCCATGCATTTTGATATCATGCAGGATATCTGCCTGCTCGGGGCCTGCCAGGGGAATGGTCTGATGTATGATCAGTAGAGCCACTTGGTGCCATTACTCCTTGCTTAACAATTCCCTCTCGAGGATCCAAAAGGAAGGGGACCGGTCTCCCTGGCTGCTCATCCATCACGGAGGATCCTTGCAGTGGGCTTGAAGCCTGTGTAAAGCACCGTGTCAGCATCTCATTCGGGAACAGCTGCCGCTCACAGCTCATGAAATCCTTCTGTCTAGCTGTCTTGCAGTAGACACTTAACTGCCGGCTGTGTGAGCCACAACAGAGCGCGTCACTGCTTCTCATACCCGAGAGGCTCAGAAACACAAAGGGATCCAGGAGGAGAAAGGAAAAAAAGAAAGTAGGAAGGGGGAGGCACCGGCTAAGGAAAGGAGTGATGGGAATGTGAATGAAAGAGAAGGGGGAAATGGGGGCACATGCAGGGAAGAGTGAGAAAGGCGGGCACGCAAAGACCTCCTTTGCTCCTGAAATGGCTGCCAATCACTTTCCCCCTCTTATGGAGAGAAGAGAGAGGAGCTGGGGACTGGCCACCCCCCGTGTGATGAAAAGAAATCTGCCCTTATCCAGGAATCAAGCCTTATTTCATTCACCCACTGGAGAACAGAGACATGAGGTGAGCTGTACCGCCGTGACTGACAACATCTGGACAACATCTATCTGAGGAGAGCTGTACCCCCATGAAAACTTGAACATCACCTTCAGGCAGTTGCCTGCACAGCACAGTAGACATCACCTCTGAGACTCCACAAGAATCAGCCCTTTGGAGAAACGATGCATGGCGGTGGGCCTGGACTAGATAACCTTTAAAGGTCCCTTCCAACCCAAACTATTCTATGATAAAAGGAGAGTCTTTGGGGCAGCTGTTCTGTTTTACCTGTGGCAGGGCTTGAACAACTGTATCCAGCAGTGCTCGCATTCCTGTAGCCATCTTCAGTAGCTTCAGAACTGCCACAACAAGCACAAGAGAAGTGTCTCTCAGACTGAGCTCAGAAGGTCTGTCCTTTGTGTGACTTACTAATGGCAGTAGCGCAAGACAGATGTCCTGTCTCCCCTTGCCCTAGAAAAACTCTGTCGTGCCCCTTGGCCCTCTCTTCTCCCTTTGCCCACTTCTTTTCACCATACAACCCCAGTGATTCCTTCTCCTCCAGTGCATTTTGTTCTTACTAAATACTCTGTTTCTGCCACCCATGCCTATCAGGCTTCTTCTGCTTCACCCAGACAGTCTAGCCAAGAGATCTCTTTCTCCCAGCATTGTGTATCACAATTCTCCTTCTACTGTGATTTTTCATTCCATCATTTTATCTTCCTCCAGCCACCATCTGTTAAGGCAGCTTAGTGCATCTTGGCCACCACCAGGAAGATTCAGTCCTCTCCCTGTGCAAACTTTGACCTGCTTGGTGGCACCTTCTCTAAACACCACTGCCATACCTGCCCTATAAGAGTATAAGAGAGAAAGCTCAGCTCTCACATGATCTGCTCACCCTCCTGTTAAAACCACTGCATCTAAATGCCTGGCTTAAGAAAGCTAAAAAGCCTTAATCTCTAGGCTGTCCTCCATCACAACCCCTGCCTCCCTCCCAGGGCTACGGACAGGGGGATCCCATGACTGATCACTGCTCAATGAGTCATGGCACCAAGTCCTACTCCACGGCCACCCACACTCCTGCCTCTGGCCAGTGTTTCTCTCACCCCGGGCAATGCGCAGCACTCTCATGATCCGGATGATAGTGGGGTTAATTGGGAGAGCAGCATTGATTTCAATCTCTTCCAGTGTGATGCCCATGACAGACAGCAGCACAATGGCCAGATCTAGCTGGTTCCACCTTAAGAAGAAAAATTGAAGAGAATAAAGGAAGATGGAGTTTTTCCATTTCCCTGAAAAAGAATGTGAATTGTCTCCACTTCAACCTAAATATTTCTTTATGTATAAATTCAAGGCCCCACTCTGAGTCAGCCTATATGGGGTTTTGCAGACAAACAGATACACTCTGCACACACCCTGAGCAGCCAGAGGCAAGCTAGCCTGATCTGAAAGCGTGGAGCTGTGTTACTATGGTGCTATGCTTTGACTAATGGGCTCTGCTTTTTATGGCCTTACTACCTCAAATCAGCTTCGTTATATACATTTGGCTTCAGCATGCTCCCAGTTTGCCTCAAGGGCAGGAAAAAAACGGCTCACTCTAACCCCACCTCCTTTGCTTTCTAGCCTAACCAGCAGGTGCCAACCAAGAGGCAGCTTTTGGACAACTTTTACTATTGTCTAGGCATTGCGGTTCACGCAGGCTGAGGTTAGGTCCATGCTGTGCAGAACTGGGAGGCAGTCAGAGCACTCTGCTACCACCTCATGCTCCAGATAGGAATCCATCCTCAAAACCGCCACCCCAAACCCAGTTGTCCCACAGCCACGGTTGACATAATCCTCTGCTTACCTGTCTTTGAAGAATCGCCGCAGACCAAAAGCCACCAGCTTGAGGACTGCCTCCAACACAAAGACAGTGGTGAACAGGTAGTTGCAGTACTTGAGGGCTGTCTCCAAGGACTGCCAGCAGAAAGAGAGGGTAAAGAACTGAGGCAAAAGCAACATCAAGCACATAACCTGTGGGGGTGACTCTCCTGAGTGCCAAGAATTCATCGGGAGGTGGGAAAACTGCCCCATGCCTCCTACCTACTTGAGCGTAGAGGCTACCTACTAAGGGCAGCTATCAGCTAACCCCTCTGCCCCATGCTGTTCTAAGGATCAGTTATTGCTCCTTTCTCCTGTACTGCTCAGCAAAACAGGGAGGAGGTGGCTGTTGCAGGAATAATCCATCAAGTACCATCAGCCTCCTCCCTCTGCCAGTAGCCCATGCCACGTGGATGCCACCATGTTAATGGCACTGGCACAGCTATCAGCCAAAAGTGAGGTACTAATGTTATTCCTGTTGTGGATACACGTTATCCCTGATGGGAGGAAACCCCTTTTTACCTTGGTCTGGGGAAGGCATATGTCATGCCACCATTTTGTGGCACTTTGTACTGGAAGGGTTTGAAGAGCTTTGGCGAGATTCTTTAGCAGAGCCTGACAGCAGGTTGGCATGGCTGGACCTGCGTTCCAGGGGAAGGAGCTGAGGAGTAAGGAAGAGGAATGACTTGTTCAGGAACAAGGGCCTGACATGAGGATGACAACAGATAAAGGTTGAGAATTCCTGCAGAGTAAAACTGGGCACCATTATGGGCAAGATAAAAGGTGGGTAGCTGGGCAAGACGGGCAAGAAACAGAGGAGACTGGCAGTGGATTTGAATGAGGACAGACAGATTCCGTTCCTGATCAAAGCCTGAGCTACTTTGGACATCACCTGCTCAGGCACCAGAGCCATCACCTCAACCATGGGTCTCCTGAAGAGAAAACTGAAATGCCACCAGGCAGGGGTCATGATGAATGCTTTGTCTACACATGGAGGCAGAAAGCTCCTTTGATACACGCAGCATACATTTTTTTCCATCAGAGGCATCTAGAGCTTGCAAGGAACACTGAGAGCTACCTGGTCTCCAACCAAAGTATAAAACTTATTTGGCCTTCAAGGCCCTTTTCTGGGGATCAGCCCTTGCAGCTGAGAGGCTCTGCTGAGTGCTTGGGCTCTGCATTTTCTTTTACACAAAAAAGGTGGCTTGGTAGACATCCCATCCCATGACACACAACCAGCCACTCTAGTCCTCTCAGCTTAGGCCATATGGCAGGAGAATTGAACTGGCATTTGGAAATCTGATGCAAAGCCTGAAGCTCCCAGGACAATGCTGTTTCCACCACTACTCCTGTTAGGATCCAGGGGAATGTACAAAGCAGACCAGGCAGCTAAATTTGGGTGACCCACATACCCACTTAATAATATAAAGCACAGAGACTTAATTGCACCGCGCTTTCTAGGGACCCAACTCGTATCCAGATGCCTTATTCTCTATTGATTTTAATGGATAACAAGTGTCTGAGTAGGGGCAACATTTTTGAATATATATGAAACTCTTCACATAACTGTGCCTACTACATTAACTCTTGCAATGCTTTAATGGTACTTTTTAGAGGCACTCAAGTGTCCTACCTGTTGTGGTGGGCAGTGGTCATCAGAGAGCTATAGCACAATAACATAATGACTGGAGGCAGGGCTTATCTCCACGATCTCACTCACCACAGGTTGGTTGTAGTGCTCCAAGGACATAGTGACCACGTTGAGGCAGATGATGAAAGTGATGAAGATGTCCAGATAGTGGCTGGTGCAGACCGAATGAATAAGGAGGCGTATGGGGCAGTAGGTAGCATAGTACGGCAAACGCTGCGCCTCTTCAGTGGGAAGAGGGAGATGGGCAGAAGTAGGAAGAAATTGGAAGAAAGAGAGAAATGGGTAAGAAACACTGAAGAGGGAGCAGGCATAAAAGTGGTGATAGGTATTGAAAGAAAAGGAAATGACATGGGAGAGAGAACACAAAAGAAAGGTAAAAGATAGGGGACATGGGAAAGAGGGAAAAAATGCAAAAAAAGAGGAAAGTAGAAGTGGGGAAAAGTAAGTAGAAAAAAGACAAGGAAAGGAATGCTAGAAAGAAAATCTGTTAGTCTATGTTTGTGGAATGGTGCTAAATCAGCATTTCATGCCTCGACAAATTAAGATCACAAATGATAAAAGGGAGCAGATGGTTCTAGAAGAGGCCCTGGGGTGTCACAGGAGAGAGGGAAAAACTGGAGCAGAGGAAGGGAAAACATGCCCACAGGCTGTGAATGGAAGAAAACCATCAGTCTGGGGTAGTAGGGATGATTTCCAGGGGCAGGTATGCTTTTGCAATTTTTGTCTAAAGGTAATACAGAAGAAGACAGAAACACCAGGAAGAGGGCTTGCTTCACCTCAGAGGGTCTGGGACCCCAAGAAGTGACACTGCAACATTGATGGAAAGAGCCAGGAACAAAACACAGGGGTCTTCCTCTTTTTTTTCCCCACCCTCTTCTTTAAATTTGGGTGTTTAAACACAAAGGATGGTCTGTCCAGGTCTTCCCCAAACACCAGCTGGGTTGCAGGAAGCCCAGGTGGGACTATCCCAAGCCCAGGAGGTGTACCAACACGTGCACGTCCTGTGTTAACAGTGCACGCCAGCACCTGCACAAGGGCATTTTTGACACACGTTATCTCCCAAGGGCCAGGGACCCTGGAGCTTCCCAGTGGCTTCTCCAGAGTCCCAGCAGACCTCGTCAGCCACCCCTCTTCCCCAGACCGCCCCGGTGAGGTGTGTAGCGACACAGCAGTGGCGCAGGGAGGAAGGCTGAGAGCACGGCCACAAGCAATGCATTTTGGAGATCAGTCCGTGGGGAAAGAAAAAGAAGAGGAGAAGGCTTTTCTCAGAAAACCTTGGCCTACGAACCGACCAAACACTTAGGCTGTGCCTTACTCCTTCGCTTCTTCTCCAGGCGGCGCAGGCGCTTCTCCTCCCGCCGGCGCGCCTCCTCAGCCTCCTGGTGCTGCCGGCACTTGTGGAAGTTCTCCACCACCACTCCCACGAACATGTTGAGCACAAAGAAACTGACAATGAGGAGGAAGGAGATGAAGTAGAGAAGCATCCAGGGGTTGTTGTTGATCACCGGCTGGAGGAGGGAGGAGAACAGAGAACAATTGTCTGGATGTGTGGTGGTATGGAAATGATGGGGGTCAGACCTGCCATGGTAATTGGCTGCTAGGGAGGTAGGGAGAGGTTATGGAAATCAGGGGAGTGGGCTGGGAAGAGCTGGGACTACAGGCAAGGCAGTTTGTGATTGGCTGACTGAATTTCAGCATCAGCTGGTGGTTATGGAGCAGTTGGAAGTCAAGGGCAAGCACCCGCCTGCACAGCGTCACCCACAATTCAGGCAAACCCCAGCTGCAGGTTGAATACAGAATCACAGAATGGAAGGGGTTGGAAGGGACCTCTGGAGATCATCTAGTCCAACCCCCTTGCCAAAGCAGGTTCACCTAGAGGAAGCTGGACGGGGATGTGTCCAGGTGGGTTTGAGTATCTCCAGAGAAGGAGACTCCACAACCTCTCTGGCCAGCCTGTTCCAGTGCTCTGCCACCCTCAAAGTAAAGAAGTTTTTCCTCATGTTCAGGTGGAACTTCCTCTGTTTCAGTCTGTGCCCGTTGCCCCTTGTCCTGTCACTGGGCACCACTGAAAAGAGTCTGTCCCATCCTCTTGACACCTCCCCTTTAGATATTTATAAGTTTTGATAAGATCCCCTCTCAGGCTTCTCCAGGCTAAACAGACACAGATCTCTCAGTCTTTCCTCATAAGATAGACGCTCCCATCCCTTGATCATCTTCGTAGCTCTCTGCTGGACTCTCTCCAGTAGTTCCTTGTCTTTCTTGAACTGGGGGCCCAGAACTACACACAGTACTCCTGATGTGGCCTCAACAGGGCAGAGTAGAGGGGGAGGATAACCTTCCTTGACCTGCTGGCTACGCTGTTTCTAATGCATCCCAGGATATCATTGCCCTTCTTAGCCACAAGGGCACATTGATGGTCATGGTCAACTTCTTGCCTGTCAGGACTGCCAGGTCTTTCTCCGCAGAGCTGCTTTCCAGCAGGTCAGCCCCTAACCTGTACTGGTGCATGGGGTTATTCCTTCCCAGGTGCAGGACCCTACACTTGCCTTTGGTGAACTTCATTAGGTTCCTCTCTAGCCTACATACAACACCAGTATGTGGTCCAGGCACCAGGAACATCTTTGGCTCGAGGGTGAGTAGAGGTCACATCTACACATCACCAAAATGGCAACGAGACCAGAATAGAAATGTCATCCAGCTTTGGAGAGAAAGGAGGCCCTGACTTTCACTGGGTCTCCTAACAAAAAGCCTGCAAAGCCAACAGTGGTGTACCCTGTGCAGAGCTTCAGAGGTCAATAGAGTATCATCCCTGAGGTTCAAGCCTGTGGTACTGCATCCCATGGCAGGTGCCTACAATGGACACTATCAAGGTCATTGATAGTGTAGAGGAATATGGATGCAGTGGGCAGCAGCCCAACAGTCCCTGCTTTACAGGGTATTAAAATAGCCATCTGTGGGCCAGGAGGGAGCCAGCATGCCCAGAAAGGCACATGGCATTTTTGCTCCATCATTAGAAATAGATAAAGGCCTGCTGTGAGATCCAAACTGAGTAGAGAGTGAGAATTACTACAGACACACACTGCACAGCCACAGCTCCACCTCCCTGAAGAGACCAGGCATGACCCTGACCCCTTGAAATAGGTGAGCAAGGATTCAGAATGGCCCTGGAAGGGAATCTTGGTTTGAGGGAGGTGTCTGAAACAGAATGTTAAAGCATGTTTCTGCATTACTAGCCCAAGGAAAGGGACAAAGGTCCTTCCACAGGGAATTCTACATACCTGCTGGTCAACCGCTACAGCATCTAGTCCATTATACATAATATTGACCCAGCCATCCTTGGAAGCCAGAACAAAGAGCGACATCAGAGCCTAAAACATACAAAGCAAAGCAGATGTGGAGCAGGTGCATCCAGCAGGCTGGGAAAAAAAAATTGTGGGTTTACGCCGTAACACACACAGCATTGAAATACTCTTCCTGCCTGTGTCACTCCACACATCAAAATCTGGTCCTTCCCCCGTGGAGGAGAGGGAGGAGGGGACAGGAAGCCATGTGCAGCCAAGCCCACCAGAGGAGAGAGGTTGTAAAGAACAAGTGCTTCATGGCATGAAGAAAATCAAGCTCTCTGCTGCCACCACTTTTCTTCCCCCTGCATCCTAATACCAACCCACTAGTGATGCAGCTTCTGCATGGGTACCCATGCCAAATAACCGTCCCTCCTGGCCCAAGGACCGGCCTTTTCAAGCACTGGATCTGTGCCACAGGGAGGGGCATGGATAGGAGGAGACAAACCCTCTGCTGGATTCCCATCACAGACAGGGGCTGTGAGCACACTCACCTGTCCCAGGTTGTCAAAGTTATACTTGTGGTGCACCCACTTGTAGTTGGCAGCCACGCAGTCGGACCGGTTGGTGATGTTCCTGATGTCGACTCCCAGGCAGTGGTAGAACTTGCCCTTGAAGAGCTGCAGGAGGGGAGTGACCCCATCAGCCTCTTTCCCCACAGGGTTTCCCTTGCTCCCTGTGATGTGCAAAAGCTCTCAAGATGGTGGGTGGGCTGCAGGGCTGCAAGCCATGCGGAGCATGACAGGTAGGGAGGGCCACCAACACAATGTAGAGCACAGGCTCAGACATTGCTACGGAGTCAGGGCCACCCTGTAAACCCACATCTAGCTTTTCAGCCTCCTCCATTGTCCCAGGCCAGCACTGACTGGAAGCCCTTACAATCTGACAGCCTCTAGGGCAGCCTTTTGCGGTGCAATTGGAGCCACTGGCCCAAAAGGACAAAAAAACCCTTCTACTCAGTCCCCAAGAGTAATCTCCCCTTCCTGCTTCCCAGTAACTGAGAAAGCTGACGGGAAAAGAAGATCTCATCTGAGGGTAAAGAACCAGAAAAAACATCCCCTGCCTCTCAGATATTTTTTTCCACAGAGCTGCGCTGCACTGCTGTGGCTCTTCTGCCCAGGGCTCCTTTCCCCATATGGAACGTACTGGATTGTGCATTTGTACAGATGCATCAGCTCAGACTAAGTATAGCGCATTCCCCGAGATGGAAGTAACGCCCACGCCCTTGCTCCTCTGCAATGCAACAGCCAAAAATAAAGAGGATTAAATAAAAAAATAAGAGAAGGTTGTGGGTGGATTTAGGGCTTGGAGTGAGGGGGAGAAACAGAGCTGACTGGAGGCAGGGTTCAGGCGCTGAGCTGGTTGCCCTTGTGGTGTGACACGGATGTGACCAACAAGCCCTGTGCTATGCCTATTGTGCTGACCCAAACCCTGACCCAAACCCTGACCCAGCTCTTGCCAGGTGTGAACATTAACTCCTGTCTCGCACATCCAGCAGTGCCTGCACTCACCAAGCACCTGGCTGTCCCTTGCCAAAGGCTGTGGGGACACTATGGTAGGAGACAGCTCATGGAGGAGGGCAGGTGCAGAAAATTTCCTGGCTTGCCTGTCCCTCCTGCTCTGCTTGGTTCCCTGTGCCCATTGTAGTACCTGGGGGTACAAGGGCCCATGGTAGGGGTGAGGGCACCGGGGCTGTTTAATGGGTGGTAACAACCTACCTGCACACCCAGGATACCAAAGATGATGAAGAAAGCGCAGCAGATGAGGACAATGTTTCCTATGGGCTTGAGGGAAGAAATGAGCGTCTCCACTACCAGCTTCAGGCCAGGGGCTCGGCTGATGACTCTGGAAGGGAAGGAAGGGGAGGGGTGACAGAGGGACAGGGCAGGGATGTTTGGCCTAAGCTAAGCATTCTCAGCAGTCGTGGGCCCCTCTCTCCCTGTGCAGTGACCCATCAGTGGGGATCACTCTCTGGTGGTCAAAAAGCCTCTTCTGTCCCATGGGTTGGTTGTCTGATGAGGTACCTCCAGGGCCAGAGCCACATGGCTAAGGGGAACCTCCCTGTGGCTTATGACTTGTCAAAAAACACGCTTCGCCTGGCACAGTGGGATCTGACCCTGGGAGCCTTCCTGGGGGGAAGCAGTGGGAAGAGGGGGCTGAGTAGGGCTTGATGGGGCTCTCACCGGAGGGGACGTAAGGTGCGCAGCAGCCGGAGGACCCGCAGCACCCCCAGGATTTTGGCACCGCCAGCAGAGGCCACCGAGACCACAATGTCAATGAGAGACACAAAGACCAAGAAGCCATCCAAGATGTTCCAGCTGCTGCGGAGATAAGCCTGATCCCCAAAATACAGGCCTAGAGAGACCACCTGCAAGAGAGGAGAGAGGAGAGGGGGTTAAAATGGCTCCTCTCCATGTTGCCTAGCAGAGGGCAGCTGTGGAGAGAGGGGAAGGATAGGGAACAGTTATCAACTCCACATGGCACTGAAGTGTCACCTTGTCATCTTTTCCTTTCACCTGGAAGGCTATGAAGGAAAATGCCTTTGGGGTAAGTGGTGGCACATAACTGCAGAAATAACAAGGCCACGGTGACTTCTCACCTTTCTGCTGCCTCCCTGAGCAAGAGGACACCATAGGGAACACACAGAAATACTTTCCCTGCCATCCCACAGACCTGAGTCGAGTTTCCCAGTCCAGAGATAAAATTGAGGTAAAGTTGAGCACCAAAACCCATACTTTGGCTCCTAAGGAAGTGGTTCGATTCTGAGCAGTTCTCAACACCAGCAGTTCCTACAGACATTGCCAGTCTTGGGGAGAGCTGAACACCCTGCAAATCGTGGCTGTAATTTAGGTATGAATTTTAGAAGATTTAAGTTCAGTTTTGAGACTGTCTTTACCCAGTTTTGGGACTCCTTCCCGATCTCAGGAGGGGAAGAACAAGATTTCCCTATTGTCACAAAGTACTTAAACACTTACTGAATAATTATCTCAATAAAGAGCATGTTATTAGTATTGTTGCTATTTCCCCATTCTTGTTCCAAGAGAAAAGGAATGGACATTTGACATCATGACAAAATCCATACCTGAAGGCCAGCTATTCCTCCCAGATACTAGATCCCTTTGGATTTGAAGTCTAGGATAAGCATCTCCTCTATGCCTGACAAGAGGGGACTCAACCCCAGGCAGCATCTGCCTTTACCAAGGTAGAGGAAGGGACTGGCACACTAAAAAGATGGAGAGATTTTAGAAGGGTGCTGAGCAAATATGAATCATGCTTTTGCTGACACTGGGAAAAAGCTCTGAACTGTTCACCTCCAGTAACTTACCTTCAGTGTCATCTCAGCTACAAAAATTGCTGTGAAAATGTAGTTGGACACAGTGAGAAAGATTCTCTCCTAGAAAAAAAAAAAAAACAAAAAAAACCAAAACAACAGAGAAAGGCCTTAAATGTATCTTGATTTCTTCTTGTTACCCTGTCAGGCCCCCCTGGTGAACTTGATATCTTTTGATTTCCTGTGAAGGGTTTGAAAGTTGGGGAAATAATAGAGGTGGCCCTGGCAAAGGTCAGTGCTGGGCAGCTTTCAGCTCATATGCCTTGGCTCAGGCCTGTGCCACAGCTGGGACAGGAGCCTATTCAATTCTGCAAGAGCACAGCTGATGGGATTTGCAATACATTCTGCAAATCTGGTTTCAAGGCACTCCCTGCCCTGTTCTGCCTGTATTGCTCAGTCCTGACCTGCTGCACTGACCTGGGACTCCTTCGTGAAGGGCTGCTGAGCACTGACCACTGGATTGTGTGTAAGTGCAGTAGAGTCTAGGGGTCAGCTAAGGCAGACATACAGAAAAAGCCATTTCACTTGCCAGCTTGAGCCATCTCCAAGACAGCTCAAAAGCAGCATACATGAATGATGTAAAACCAGGCTGGATGGGGCTTTGAGCAACCTGGTCTAGCGGGAGGGGTCCCTGCCCATGGCAGGGGGTTGGAAGTAGACGATCTTTAAGGTCCCTTCCAACCCAAATCATTCTATGATGACATGCCATTCCTACAGAATGGAAGTTATTTCTATCTTTTATTTCCCAGGCCCTGTCCCTTTTGCCTGTCATCTCTTAACTGCAGGTGTCTGGAGGAGTCTCTTACTTTTCAAGAGGGAGAAAACTATGATTACTGTATTATAAAGTGAGTTGCCACATTATAAGACCCTGCAGGGGAAGAACACTATGTGAATACTTGGGCATTTGAATAGATGAGTGGGAGTTGGTGTTTAATGCGGAAGTTCTTCCAGAGGTCATACCAGTGCCAGGAACACTTACAAACCTCTGTCAGAGAGGTTTTGCTAAAAAGCAAGTGGGAGGAAATGGTGCTCACTGTGCTTCTGTGTTCAATCTGCGGTCTCTCCAGGGCAATGGTGATGCAGTTCAGGAAGATGAAGGCCAGCACAACGTAGTCAAAGAGTTTGTGAGCAATGATGGTTTGGCAGAGGAGGCGAAACCTGCAAGAAAGTTCCAGTAAGCACTGGAGTCCAGTAATCCTTGGGCAGAGCAAGATTAGGAGCTGTGAGGACAGAGAATTGAGAGGTCTGGCCAAAACTGAGCTCTGACATAGCAGCTGTCCTATCGCTGATAGTAATGTCCCTTGCCATGAAAATATTCCAGGGTGGCCTATGGTCACACAGGGAGCCTGGAGCAGATCAAGGAGCTGAATCTTCGTCCATTACCCCAGTGTCAGAGTGGTTTCCTAATCATTATGGGTCTGTGCTCCTCTCTTGCCCTGTAGTGACTTTCAGCTTTCCTCTCAAACTCATACTTTGTACCACCCTAGGGCAATTAGGAGAGGCAGGCAGGTTGGCAGACATGGGGTCCACACTTCTGTCTGCTTTGAAAGACACAGTGTCTGTTAGCACAGGTGTCACGTGCAGTAAAGAGCTGTCCCTCATGAACTGTATTGAAACCCCCTTCTTTTCAAGGGGCAACACACATGGGCGAGAATACTGTTGGCTGGGGTACATGGAGGTTTTCTCCTGACGGGAAGACCCCCTTAGCAAGAAGGATTTATCCCAGATTTCTTTTCAGGCAAGAAGAATTCTAACTTTTCCCTAAAAGGTGTGATATGACTGCTGATAAGTTGGTACTGGGACTGAGAATGAAATGAAGAGACTGTTCTGGTACCAGGGGAGAAAATATCAGTATTATGGAGTCGTTAATAATACATTCCTTCTCCTTTTTGGGTTAATGTTAGTATTCCCTGCCTTGCTTTGCTATAAATATTTATGATTACACAAAAGAAAATAGGATGCTCCAAAGGGAGGGAAAATCACAATAGCTATTTAGGATTCTCATCTTTCCTTTCATCTCCAGAATCAAGGAAGAGAAATTTTGTTTGGCAGTAGAAGGGGAGACAGAGGAGACGAAACACATTCCCACCTGCTAAGTTTGAAGTTGCAACCTAACATGCAGCTCAGGGATGTAGCACGGCATCAGAATCTGTGCCATCTTCTCAACCCTCTCATGCGAAAAACTACACGAACCTGTTTTGTGGAGAGAAGAGATATATGGACCAGTCTTCCCGTAGCTCACACCAGTCTGGCTTATAGACTTCCATCATCTTCCGGATGCGAAAGCACAGGCTCTGGAAGGACACAGCAGAAACACGTGCCACTGGCTACTTTCCCACTTACCTGAGAGAGGCGTTCTTCCTTTCACATCTGACCCCAAAACACCACTACCTGCAGTTCACCAGGTGCACTACCTGCCTTTCTTTAAGCCTCCAAACAAGGAAACAGACTCAAAGACCAACAAGCTACTGAAAAGGAGGTAGGAGTTGCTTTGCTAGGGCCTGGTTTCCTCCCCAGATCATTACAAATAAAACTGGTGGTGTCTTCCTAGAGCAGGATGCTGTCCATGATGCCTTCTCAGAGCTGTTGGAGTGGCTGTTACATGAGGTCAGTGTTTCCTCTCTACTTCAGTTAGATGAAAGGACAGGAGGGCCTTGTGTTGGCACTTGAGCTTGGAAGTAGTTTAATTTCATATAGCATATATGTCTGTTCAAGTTTCTACTGACCCTGCCTCTACTTTTTCCACCCTTTGATCTGCTCAGAGATTGGGCATTGCGGTCTCGCAGGCTGGCACTGCAAAACTTCCTTGCCTTGTCACTTGTGCCTGAGCTTCTTGCTCTGACCTATGGAATAGCTTTTCCCCATGGAAAGCTACGGCTGCTCACACAGCCTAACCTTTCCTATCCTGCAGAAATCACTTGCTGCACTCATCTGAAATAACAGCCCCCGGATGACCATGCACATGCCTCACATCTGCCTTCCTCCCACCTTCCACCTGTACGACTGCTTTGCAGGCAGCCTAACAATGTGGATTGAGCTTGTCTGGGACTAGAAGGTCCCATCTGTGTTCAACGTTGTCTCCCAGCTGTACTTAAAGCACCTCTGCAAGCTCTTCCATCCACGTGGCAGGGAGACTGAAACTTGATGATGGATTTGGGGTTTCTCACAGCACCGTGGTGTGTAACCCCAGGTTTCCTGCACCAAGTACTCACATAATCTATCTCTTCATCATCCTCTCCCCGTTCCTTGCGGTCGTTCATCTTTGGGAAGATCTCCTTGGCAATACTGGGCATTTTGCCGTTGCAGTCTTGATGCTCACTGGCCCCCGATGCTGCTCCCAGCTTACGGGCCACTCTGTGGCCGGGTGGGACGGAGGCCAACTCCAGCAGGTCACAGGAGCCTTTGTTGTCCAGGGAAAGTGTCCGGCGATGATGAAACACCCTTCTCGTCCCATCCGACTCCCCATCTGCGGCCCTGTGCCTCTCCCCAGACAGGAGGGATTCGTGCTCGGCGGAGGGAGGTTTGTGCTTCAGGCTGTGTCCCCGGGCCAGGCTGTTCCAGCTGGAACGACGGCTGCCCCAGGCCCCGCTGCGGCTCCAGGCACCATAGTGGGAACTGCGGGAGCTGGACTGTAAGAGAGCGGGATGGGGACTCAGTGACTCCGGGCACAAGGAGGGAGCATGCGATCCCATCCTATTTCAGATCACAGACTTCTCCCTGGGCCCCTAAGGCAGGAGGTTGCCATTTTTCAGCCGTTGAGGAAGTTGCATATTGGGAACATAGCAGCTATCTCTGTAAATCTGACAATAAATTGATAATGAGTTAGAAACAGTGTTGGCTGTGATTACTTTATAGCACCATCTGTGTGCAAAGCAGTTACAGGGAAAGGTAAATGATAAAGCCAAAGGCCAGGTGCCTGATGTTGTTACTTACACCAGCACGAAGCAAGAATAAAGCTCTCAAAAAATCTGATTGGCAGCTTTTTATGTTGCCCTGGGGTAAAGGATAACGCAAGGTACAGGGTGATGGATAATCTGACACACCGTCTTTGAGTACAGTCTTAGTAAAAGGAAGAAATGAAAGAAAGAGGCTTGTTGGTTACAGTCTATTCCAACCACATCAGCAACTTATCACGTAGTATGTGGCTGCCAGCTCTCCCTGTTTAGAAGTAAAAAGGGCACAAACCCTTTTAGCACCAAAGCACTCCCCCAGAGCTGTGTGTGTCAGTGGGTAGAAAGCCCACAAGAACGATGTTACAAAGTGGACAGGTCTGAGATGCATTGGCTGGACAGCCAGCAGTGCTTGGGGAAGTGCTAAGGGGCAGCAGGATCTGCTATGGGGAGCTCCAAGTCAAGACTTCTCTCTTCATTGTTATGAAATCTTCCAGAAAACCCATCTGTTATGGGACTTGGCAGCTGTGACATCAGCCAGATATTCCTATGCTCTTAATTTAGGGCATCATTTTGTGTCCTGTGCTCTAGGAAAACAAGGAAAGGGCAAGAGGACAACACATATTTCACTCTAAGAGGCAGACTCTGTCTCCTTGGTGTTCCCTCTCTCCCACCAGAAGAATATAATAGAGCTGAATCCCACACTCAATGGAATATAGATCAATAACCTGGAAATAGATGTCAATAATCTGGAAATTTAGATAAATAGTGTGAACTGACCTGGCTTCCTAAAGACAGGCAACATGGTTGTGTTAGAAGCCTACAGCAGCAGCACAATCCTCCACAGCAACCCCCAGATGATGGCAGAAAGACAACAGAGTGCTCAGACTTCCAAAGACAGGTACAACAAACATTCCTACTCACCAAGGACCGCTGGTCATAGGTCATTCTCCCCAGGGACATCACACTGCTCTTCCGGGAGCCAACAGGAACACGGATCTGATCAGGCTGCAAGGAGTTCCTTGAAGAGTTGGTGACCCCCCCAGCAGCCATAGGAGGGTTGGAAGAGGGCAAGGATGGGTCCAAGTGTCCATTAGGTGTCACAGGAATTGCACAGAGCTTGGGATCTGGGTGGAACAATGTAGAAAAAAGAAGAAAGACAAAAGGAGAAGGTGGGTTCCTCACTATACAGTGACTGTTTCAATGTCTAAGCTGTATAGCATGTTAGCAGCAGATAACAGAATATTAGCTGTTTAGCATCAATCAACATGAATTCCTTCTGATTTAGGCTGTTGTGGCAAAAGCAATGCAAGCTGGGAAGACTTTGAAGTATTCTCTTCAGTCCCAAAAACTGAGGGCAGCTCTCCTTGGAGCCACCGGATGAGCAGACTCAGGCTGACCAGCAGAGCAAGAAGCTGATCCCTGGCAGCAAAGGGGAGGAGAGTGCGCTTCTACATGCCAAGAACAGACACCTGCATCTACAGGTCTGAACAAATACTGCCGACTAAATAGTCAGACTGGCTATTTAAAGCAGTTAGACTGAGACACTGGGGAAGAGATTTAAGATGTGAGAAGACCCACTGCCGTCCATGCATTGCGGTCACCTTTAAATTCCTGCAATCATACTCTTCATCCTAGTCTATCCTACTACACTGGGCCTCTTCAAATGACTGATCATGGACCTTGAAGATCCAGGACACCTTTGAAGGGTATGTTAGAAGGGTATGTCCACAGGTATGGCTGTAGACAACTATCAGCATTTGTCAAGATGGATGGAGAAGATAGGGTAGTGGCTTTTAACACCTGAAAGGACTGGAGCAATCATTATTATTTCTTGACATTACATAATGAAGGTCACATATCCTCACCTCACACAGCATCATGGCCATGAGTGCACCAACAGGCTCTGTAACCTCTTCCCCATCTGCCCTCCTAGGGATTTGGCTGCCTACATTCAAGGTAAGCTCTGATATGGTGCACCATGTAACCCAGGATCAGACTGCTGTGAAAAACACCTAAGTTGCAAGGTAAGAGTTGTGACAAGCCAATATTGGAGCTGCTGCTCCCTGCTGCGGGAGCTGCATTTAAGGTCAAACCTGTGCCTATGGTCCTTGTCTGTGTTACACTGTGAGTATGCTTGTGCCCATCTTTGCAGCTTGCTGATCCTGATCTCTTCTTGCTGACTGGGTCAGTGTCAGACCTAGCTCACCACTGTGGACTTTCCTGGTGGTCACAGAACCGTTTCCTGACTCTGCTCTGCTCACCTTGTGCAAGTACGGTGTCTTTGTTGGCATGGTCCCTGCCCTCTTGCCTTGGCCTTCCCCTCAGCTCTTGGCTTGCTATCCATTGTGGAGCAAGCTACTCTTGCTGCTCCCTGCCACCAAGTCCTGTCTGAAGTATAATACCTCTTGCAGAAAGACTTGCAGTCTTCAAGGAAAGACTTTGAGGGGTGGAGACCTTACCCAGCCGTTTGTAGGCAGACTGTTCCAACGGTTAATTATCTTTCCTTAAAAATATGTGGCTTATTTTCAGTCTGAATTTGTCTAGCTTCTGCTTCCAACCTTTACAATCTCATTATGGTTTTTTTTCTGCTCAATTAAAGAGCCATCTACCATCAGAAATGTCTCCTTATGGTTGGCACTTACGGAGTGGGTGATCAAGTCACTTCTCTGGTTTCTCTAAGCTTCATTAGCCTCTCGCTCTGAGGCAAGACTTCCAGATTTGTCTGAGTCCTTTTTAATGTGTTGGTATCCCCTACACAAATATGGGTCCCAGATTTGAATATGACATTCCTGAAATGGTTGATGCCTGTGAAGCTAAAGCAGAGAAAGTCTCACTTCTCAGTCCTAGTTGCTGTTCTGTAGGTCACTCTCCTGAGCTATCACATTCCTCAGGATGCCAACACAGCTCTGTTTTTCAACAGATAACAGCGCAAACAAGGATAAGTTCAAAATGAAAACCGGTAAGTTCTTGGAGATAGGGTTGAATTTTCTGCAGAACCTGCTTTCAGATTTCTCACTAAACAGCAATAGGACATAAGCACATGATGCTGTTTGATCTACTGTACCTGAGCCTTCCTGGACCTCTTGGAACTGATCTAACTCCTCCATGTTTGAAGAACTCTGATCTTCATCTGAGTATGATCGGTTGGCATCACCCTGGAACACACAAATTTAGAAGTTGGGAACTCATAAACAGAAAAGACCATTTGCTTTTGTCTTTCATTGCTGAAGAACTGTAAAATCCTCCTTGGAAGCCAGGATTTACTCACTGGAAAGAGTCTTGTGTGACCTGGGATGACTGATGGACTGTATTATTGCTTTTGGAGGGGCAAAGGACTCACCCTAGCAGGGTAGGTTCTGTTGCACAGGATGGAAATTTTGATCTCCCTTCCAGAGGACTTGTCTCATTCCTTGCAGAGATTAACACTGTCGTTTTAAGAATTTTTTTAATGAAGCCCACCCTCAACTTAACAAGGGAAATGACAGCGATATGATACTTTGGGAGTCCTCCACCCCAGTACTCTCAAGTTGTCTTAATGGTCCCCTTTTAAGCACCTCTATTCCTCCTCCTGATGAAGCTTTGGTGGCAACTTACCTCAGCCTGGAACCCCTCCACAAGAATAGCCACCAGCAGATTGAAGAGCACATAATTGCCAAACGTCATGAGAGCCACAAAGTAGAGGGATGCCCATGGTGAGGTGGAGGCCATGCCATTATAGAGCACAACATTCCAGTCCTCCTGGGTTAGGATCTGCAACCAGGAGCAGATGCCTCATAAACATGAAGGAAGGACAAGAAGGGGATTCTCAGAAAAGGACATGGAAAGGATACACATCAGGGGCACATCAGGCCCCTTAACTTCCCCGTAACCACACACCCACTGCCCACTGTCACTGTCCAGCTGTGGTACTGCTCTGATAACGTTAGCTGAGAAGAAGAAACAAGAGCGATCATGAGGACATGATTCTATGATTCTATGAAAACGCACCTGATCCTCTTCACTTCTCCCTGGCCTACCCATAGAGAGTAAAGTGGGCTCACCTGGAAGACGGTGACGATGGCCCACAGCAGGGAGTCAAAATTCTTCCGGTCAGGAACTGTATCTCCTGTGTCTGTCCTGAGGCTGAACTTGCAACCAAAGATGTGCATTCCCAGGATGCTGTTGGGGCAAGAAGTGGAGGTGGTATCAAATGTATATATCTCTGTCACCACAATGAGCTCATCACAGTCATTCTCTTTTCCTCCCAACAATCTCATGTAACACCACAAGAGTGAAGGATAGAACAACACAGCCAGATCACTGGGACCTATCCATGAACAAGGAGCTATGTATTGCACCCAGAGAGCTCATCAAAAAACCTTGCATTCCATCTGTACTGCCTCAGAGCTCATATATTCCCTCCAACCTGTCTTTCAGATCTGCTCTTTCCATCATTCTTGTTAGCTCTCATTTTTCTTCATTTCCCTACTATTGTGTCCATGGAATGCACTTACAAACTTTCTTGGTTGTTTCCTGCCACCCTTCTGCCAGTCACCCTCTAGATTGAACTGTTTCTGCAGCCAGCATTGATTAGCAAGAGACTTCGTCTATCCTGCAATGGGACATTATGCTCAACGTGCGCATTTGGTGGCAGTATTTCTCCACCCCGTCCAGGCCAAATCTTCAGCTGCTGAACCCAATTTAGGGCAGTGGTAACCTCAGCCCTTATGAACAAATAAATGTTTGTCAGTGTTGCCTGAGCCTAGAGCAATGGGCAAGACGAGTCATGCAATCTTGCTCTGAAGTTGCTGTCATTCAGTGCCTCTCCAAAACAACGGGAGGCAAGTAACTGCCTCCTCACCTGAATATAAAGATGAAGAGCATGAGAAGCATGCAGAAGGTGGCTACGTTGTCCATAGTCTTCATCAGCACCACGAGCTGGCGGCGCAGCGCAGGCATGAAACGCACCAGCTTCAGCACGCGCAGGAGACGGAAAGTCCTCAACACAGAGAGGCCCCCATCTGACTGGCCGATGATCTCCCAGATGCTATGGCCCAGAGAGGTACAGGGAGTACAAGGGACAAAATGAAAGACGAGTGAATGAACAGCAGAGAGAAACAACAATGCTAACCCAAATTTTCACCTCTGCATTGGCAGCAAATATAAAGGGGTCAGAGATAAAAATCTGTTTGAGTAAGATATAATTAGAAGTATATACTATAGGCTTATACTCATGTATAGAAAGCTGCATTTCTCCCTTAAGAACATGAACACAGCAACACTAAATGTGACAGGAATGAGGAAAGGATTGCAGCATTACATTCCAGCAAGGTAAGTTCTTCTATCACACATTAAACCTTTGTAGCATTCTTAATTTGTGCATTTTTAAAATACTTCACAGCTAATATTTCTTGTTGGCTTACAAGGCAATTGAAATTGCCTCCATTCTACAGAGGAGAGGATGGAGGAGCAGAAATGCTACACAGCTTGCCTATGGTTGCCAATTGTTGGGAAGAGACATCATGGTCTCCCAATCTTTGGCCTTGTGCATCAGCCCAGCTTCCCCTAATATAGCTGCTAAATTCTTTCGGAAAAGGCAGAGAATGCAAGCTCTCTTTTCTATGTGTATTTCAGTTGATCCCCAAGGCCCTTGTCACCTGATGATGACGATGATACTGTCAAAGATGTTGTAGGGATTGCGGAGGTAATCAAAGAGACCAAAAGCAGCAAGTTTCAGGATCATCTCCAGGGCAAACATGCTTGTAAAGACAACGTTGCTGATCTCCAAGATGTTGGTCAATTCCTCTGGCTAGAGAAAAGGCAAATTCAGAGAGTCAGAACTGAAAGAGCCCTGAAATTATGGGAAATAAAATGCTGCCATTCCCAGGGGACAGGCTTTATAGAGAGACTAGAGTGGAGCTGGATAGAGCCACTTGCACTCCAATTCCTTTGCACATTTACTACCTTCATCATAGACTACAACCCTAATACATTCTTTTACTAGAGGTGGTCAGGAGCCCCACAGCCATTCACACAGCCAAGACTGACCAAGTGTCTCCCACATCCCATTCCAGACCCTGGTCACCCAGCTAAAGGATGCTTTATTTTGTGCTAATAACTTGGGGGTTTTTTTGAAGCAGGACAGAAGTGACTGATCTGTGGTCAACCTCTTTCTTCAAGGATTTCTTCGTCTGAGGTTTCCACATGTAGCTGGCACAATTTTTTGCTGAAATTCTGAAAACACTTGAATGATAAGTAAGCAGTTCCCCATCTTCCTCTAAACCACACTGCAATTCTCTGCCTCTTTCCCCTCTATTCTTTCCATTCCTCATTTTTCTTTCCCCAGCTCCACACCAAATCCTTGATATGCATTGGTTTCCTGGCCTTCCTCCAGCAATCTTTTCTCATACCTCTGTCCTCAGAGTGGTCTCAATAATTACCTGAGCAAATATCAGCCTGGATAAATAAGACAACAGCGAGATGGGGCACACTGCTAACACCTACCTGTAGGGGACAGGAAGGGTAGGACAGGGTGAGAAGAAGAGAAAAATGAACAGCAAGAAGAGAAAGGCAGATGCACAAGGTGAGAACCTCCAGGGATGACACAAGATGACTGTGTTGAAAGAAAGAAAAAAAAAAAAAAAAAGAAAAAGGCAATCTGACCCTGCCTGAGGCATTTCTTTTTTCTGTTGAAACTCTGGCACATCTTTCAGGCTGTGTGGTATAGCCTTCTCCTGCAGAGACCGATGTGTTTGTGCATATGAGAGAAAGTGTTTTAATGACTCTATCAGTGAAACAAGTCTGAGCAAATTAAATTACTCCTCCTTTTGTTTTCTGAATTAATGACTTCTTCAGCGTGTGCAGCCTTGGAAACTTCTCTGACAAGGTCAGAAAAGGGTCTAGACTGTTTCCTCAGAAATTATGAAATGTTGCTTCACAGACAGAGGCTGCACTGATGTCATCGATGAGGGATGCCAGGATCTCGCCATCCCCTGTGAAACGCAGGCATTCCCTGCACTGAATTTGGGATGGACTCATCTGCTCAAAGCACCTCTCATCCAGGGACTAGGACTGCACTAGGCCAAACAGCAAGGGCTGATGTCTCGAACAGGGCCAGATACACGAGGGGTAACACTCGTGCAAGCCTGCCCACGTTTGTGCATACGCAGACACACGCATACATAGCCCAGGCAGACTACCACGGCAATGGCAAGGTACAAAATGTTCCCAAAGTAAGAGAAAAACTTCCTCCCAGTGTAATGGGTTGCATCTTGAGGCCAAAGCTAGACAACACATGGCCTTCAGACTGCATGAGGCTGCTAGGGCAATTCACCTGGCTGTAGCATGCTGCTGGCCATCACCTCCCCAAGCAGCAGCTGATGAGGACCTGCTCCAGATGAAGGTGTGCCGCCTTCCCAAGCGGAGGGATGAGGCACAGCAGCTCCAAGGCACTTCTTCAGGGCAGGGCTCCTCTGGCCCAAATTTCCATGTTTACCTTGAAGCAGGTATGTCACATCTCAGACAAGGTTACATTTTTGATATTTAACATACTGCACCTCTGAGCCCCAGCTCCAAGCCTTTGAGGTGAGCCTGACCCAGGCTCTGTGGCAGCGGGCAGTACTGCTCTCACTGTTTGGATACCTGTGCCAAAAAGGTAGCTGAAGACTCCCCTCTTCCTTCACGTTGGTCTGAGCTATACCTGGCCACCAGGATGCCCTTTTAAGCACCACATAAAATGGAAGGGAACACGAAAACTGCAAAAACCTGTTGTTCAGGGCAAGAGAGGACAGACACTCCTGGCACTGTGGAAATAAAAAAGTGAGTCCCTGCAGGTCAGAGTCAATATTTTTATCATGAACTCAGTATTAGTGTGCACTAGGAAGGAGAGTCATAGTATCTCCCTGAAGACTGCAAAATTGCTGTTTTTCTGAAGGGCAGCCTTTGTATTGGCTGTGCCTATTACTTATTCAGCTAGTGGAAGGGGAAGTGAAACACAGTTCTGGGTCTGACCCTTCCCCTGAAGCTGGGGGCTGCTTTAACCCCTGCTCTGGGACTCCCAGGGGCCCAGATCCTCCCAGGTGAGCAAATGGACTGGAAACTGCTCCTCACATGTATGGCTTCCCGTGCCATTTGCTAATTTCTTGCACTCTTCGTTGCAAATTTTTATTGAAATAGTCCATTTCTTTAACATCTAAAAAAGGGAGATGGCTCAATTTCCATCCATAATTACATTTGAATAACAAAACCATCCTGGAAATGAGGGGGAGAGGATGGGAGATAAGAGTGAAGAGAGAGAAAGAACGAGCAAGTGCACATGGGAAGGTAGAGATGAAGATCGCTTCATGGAGAGCCAGGCAGTAATGACACTTGCCGGGAACATGAGGTCCATATGCCAATTTCAGCCTGAATCAAATGATTATGTCAGTGAGAATGAGCAATGTATAAAAGCGACAGGCTATGATGGTGGATTATCCTCCTCTCTGCTGTCCACACGTTCTCTCTTGTGCTGTCGTAGGGAGCAATTGATGTTTGAAAAGCCATGCCTGCATCTCGCTTGTGGAAAAGGTCACCTGTTCCCCCGTCTCTCCTTCCCTCCCTGACATCTGTTTCTCTAGTCAAGCCTCCACCTGTTAATCTTTTTCTAATGGGCCATCAATCAGCCCCAGCAAAGCATCCTTCCTAGAGAGAGGGGCAGGAAAGACTGGGCAGGGAAAAGGAGGAGAGATGAGCAGCGAGAAAGGCAGCGAGAGGAATTAGAAAACAAAGCTGAAAAAAACAGTAAAATAAACTCGCTGGCACCCACAAGAGTAGAGAAGGAGAGATTTTAATAAATGGAGTAGGGAAGATGTAAAGGCTGAGCAAGGAAGAACAACACAAAAGGGAATGAACTCAGGAAAAAGAGGAGAAAAACAGCAGATCCAGCTGGAGCAGCCCAAGACAGCAACCTCACTGGCTAAAGGCAGATCCTGCCTGGCAGCTGTTTCTGGAGATACAGATAATTCGGCAGAGTACAAAGAGCCATCAGCCAGGGCTGCGGGGTGGGGGCCACCAGGGGCCGTGTCCTGTGCGGTGATGCCCTTGCATGTGGGGCAGCATGGCCATGAATGACAGTGGGCAGGGCTAGTGGCTGGGGCATGGTTGGTGCTGGGGTCTCTCTCAAGTGTGAACTTGATGAAAGGGGCAAGCAAACGGGGAAAAAGTGGTTCTCTCTCCTTTTCTTCCTACCAATGCACAGGATCCCCAACACAACAGGGGATGTCACAGCTGTGAGAGATCCCCAGGCTCCCACAGACAGCACTCAGGCATTTATCATCAAAACCGTTAGCAAGGCTTCCTCCTCCCAGACCCCCAGCTTTACCTAGAAACTCTAAATTGAAGTGCCTACCAGGGAAGGACTGAACTCAGGACTATTTTAGCTCAAGTAGAAACAGGGAACACCAGAAATCTCCCCACAAGAGAAGTCTGTCCATATTGCCAAGCCAGGATAGAGTCATTTACCCATCACAGCAGGAGAGAAACTTGGATAAAACTGTGGGAGCTGAGTATTGGGGTGAGAAGAGCATCTTGAAGGCGAGAAAGATCCCAGGGAGCAGAGCATGCCCACAGCCAATGTTTTAACCTGACTGGTTCACCTGCTCTGAATATGGATCTCTTTCCAAATTCATGAAACTACCTAATTCAGATCTTCATGGCACTAAGTCCTTCGTCCCTGCCAGTGCAGATCAAATACTGAGTGCGAAGTCCATGATTGAGGTCTACTTCAGGGCTCCTGCCCAGTGATCAGAAGCTAGACCTGGGGCAACAGAGGGCAGCTGCTCAGCTTTTTTCTCCTTTTCAGTTTCTTATTCACTAGCGTTGGTGTTCTTATCTCAGATTGGACTGAAAACATAATTAGTCCATTATCTGACAGCAGCCAGAAACTTCTGCACTACAGGAAAGCTTAAGAATATGCAGACCACCATGAAGCCTCTGCAGGAGGAGTTTCTCCTAACCAAGAATAAATTAGCAACTGTCTAGAAACTGAAAAGTAATTGATGTGATCTATGCACCCAGCCCTACCAACCGTACCTGCAACATCACTGCCTCTAAGAGCATAAGAGAGAAATATTCCATACAGAGGTCTCTCCAGCCTGTCCATTTTTACTCACCATTTCAAAGTCACTTGACAATATTCACAAGAGTCACAGAAATCAGTCATGGAACATAGCAACTAGCTTTTACTTACTCTAATCACCACCCCACAACCAATGCAGGGTTTCGTGATGTTTTGTTATACCCTAGTTTTACAAGGCTGAAGTAATGTGGTTTCCTCTAACACCCCAGGGAAACTGTTCCATCATTTACTAAATGTCAGTATGATGAGCTGGCTTGGACATTTGCTGAATGTTTCTGACAAGCAGCAAATAGTAAAAAGAGAAGCAATAACTGTAAAATATGAACTAGTGGATGCAATAAATGCTGGTATAAACGGAAATCGTGCAGGCTAAAGGATATGAAGCTACTGATCCACAGGGCTGGTCTAGTTAGGAAACAAGGGATCGCCTCCTGATCCACACAAGACAGATCTCATTAAGTATTGATCTGATGTATGAAGGAATAATATAAGTAGATACTGGAGAAGATAAATCAAAGTTACTCAGCAATTTTCTCATTGGCTGCTAATGGCAAAGAAGCTTGAGTCCAGGCCATTCAACAGGCCATTCAAGAAATATATGAAAAAGGCAGCCCAGGACATTCAGCCAGGACCAGCCTTTCATCCTCATGCTGAATAAGGGAGAAAAGCAAGCAGCACCGGATCCTCTGTGAATATTAAAAAAAGTAATCCTCTTTAAAAGATACTTCTGGACAGCCACAAGTATCTAATATCTTGATTTTCTACCCTGGATTTTAAAAATAGGCATTTCCAAGAGAAGCAGATCTGAAAAACTGCAAAAACTATTTCAAGCAGGACAAAGCTTGAAATGATGGATTTTGGCTTGTGCAACGTCCCAGGAATATCTGAAGACCTAATGCTGAGGATATTACATGGTATAATGCACACTGATGGATTTAAATAAACTTATCTACTTGCAAGAGATAATTGTGATAAACTTACGGATTAAAAATGACTCATAGCAGTGCAGTTTGTCCCAAAATGAGTTGATTCCCTTCACAAGAAATGTATAAGGAGATGGCAAGCTGCCTGGGCCACACAAACAGGACAGGACAGGGGACTGGATGGATAAGCTAAACAAAGCCAAATTCCAAGGTGATTTGGATCCAAGTAAATGGGTTTGAATTGCTGAAGTTAAGTCTCCTGGCAGAAAAACATTGTGAATACTAAATCCCTGAATTGTCACAGATCATTTTAATTCCTGGGTTTTTTTCTGTTCGTCAAGGCTCAGGAATCAAAGGCAGGACTTGCACATGGGCTCTGTCCCCAATGTTCCTGTGTTTCTGAGCCTGAACCTTGTGCCTGGTTCCTATAGTCTCTCACCCCTTAACCTGGTGGTTGGTAGGTGCTTTGGTCAGCAGGCCAGCTCACCTGGGTATAGTCCATGAGCAAGCGAAGCAGTAAGGAGCTGATGGACGTGCCACCAGCTCCTCCCAGGACCCCTGAAACCTGTGACACCTTCACACGTCCTTTTGCCCAGTCAGATATGTCCCCACAGAGTGGCTGGGTTTGTGATCTCGAATGCACCAGAAAATAAAAGCTCGAGAGGTCTCTCTACACGTTAGCTCCAGGCCAGGAGAGATTTGTATGACGAAGTAGCTGAAGTAACATAAGCTACTTCAGTCATAGGATGGCGTCACCCTGCTAATCACAGATCTCTGTGGGCAGAGATATCATTCTGTGGGCTTGGATATAATTCTGTAAAAACTGATGTTTCTGGAAGGAAAAAACAACAGGAAAAAGAGAAAGGAAGGAGAGAAAAGGAGGTGACGAAGCATCAGTCTGAGATGTACTGTTAGTATAGCTTGAGGAAAACTGTAAGAGAACAAAGGAATGTGCAAAGGCCTATCGGCTTTTGAGTTAACTGCTGACTAAAAAAGACCTGGAATTCATGGTATGGTCTGAATATTTTTTTTTTAATCTTCTTATGCCAGGGAAACAGGAATCAGTATACACATTTTAAATAAACAGGCTGCACCACATTTTTCAGTTATGATCAATTTAGCTGACATATCTTTCTAGTAGAAACAGCATGCAGGGTCATAAGCTTTTCCTAGCTACTTAGGGATAAAAAGTGATAGCATAAGTTTAAGGACGTGTCATTAATAACCTGCTAATAGAAACCCTAAGGCTGCAGGCAGCTCCCGCTCTGCTGCGGGCTGTACAAACACAGCAGAGGCAGCCTAGAAGGGCTTAAATCTGCACACACAATAGCCAGAACACGAGAGTGAATTCTCTACCTCCAGCTCAAATATTCTTCTGCTAAACTCTTAATTCATGCTGTCTCCAATAAACCAAAATGAACAATGGCTCTCCCTGCTTGGTGCTCACATCTTTAAAACATCAGTGGGCAGTTTTCATATTGTCCTGGGCTTCAACCCTTAGTCATCTCTCTGCTACGTGATAAATACATCGCTCTTTTTTATCTATTTTCATGAGTCAACCCCTCCAGCCTCTTCTTCATTCTCATCTGCTCTGAGCTCCTGCCAGTATTTTTCTGGTACTGAAGCATCCAGTGCAGTTTTGCATTCTGAGATCAAATTAAGGTTTCCCATCCTTGTATCAGAAACTAGCTGGGCTTTGAAAAATGGTCTAATGCTTGGTACGTGGGTGGGATCCAGACATCTGGGGGTTCAAATACTGGCTCAGACACTGTGTTGCCTCAAACAGGGAATTTAAGATATTCTGGGTCTCAAGATACCTCTGTCCTAATACAGCACAGGACAAATCTGAGTGCCTTGCTTGAACCAGACTCACTGCCTTCTGCTGCCTGAGACTGTGTTCAGGACTAGGCTTCACCTTGGCACCAAAGCTTCAATGCAGTCAGCATCTCAGTAGTGTTCCAGCAGACATGTGGAGAGAATGATGGTCACATTCAGTCTGGCAGCACAGATCTGAGACATGGATGTACACCATGGAATCATAGAATGGTTTGGGTTGGAAGGGACCTTAAAGGTCATCTACTTCCAAACCCCCTGCCGTGGTCAAGGACACCTCCGCACTTGACCAGGTTACTCAAAGCCCCATCCAATCTGGCCTTGAACCGGTCCATGGTCCTACAACATGAAGTGCAGCAGAGTTACCAGCCAGCAATGCAGATGCAAGGTCATGGGCGTGCTTAACACCCTCTGAAGCTGGCATCACAAAGTAGACACAGCCTCTGTTTCCCAGCTATAAAATGAGGGCACACAATCCTTCTCCATCTCACAAGTCTGTCATTAGGACAAAGTCCACTGCTGACTCAGAGCTGCCTGCAAAAGTATTGACATGAAAGTCAAACCTATGCCCACACCTGCTGTCTATGTCTGACCTATCTATCACTTTTTGCTGTCAGGGCAAAGGAAGGGCTCAAGTCATCTGAGCCCCCAAAATGACTGGAGATGAGAGGTAGTGTCTTTCCTACCCTTCTTGTATAGATAGACTGTGCTCAGGCATCTCTTAATTAAGCTGGAAAGGCTAGCAAGCTGATGGATTTGAATTGAGATGCTGGTGAAGTGCCTGTGACATCCCCAGAGGGCACACTAAATTAACCAAATAGACTAAGGATTCAGTAAGCTAATGAAGAGAGAAATGAGAGCGAAAGAGAGATAAGAAAGATGGAAGAGATGAGGATGAAGGAGAGGGAAGCAGATGGAAAGAGAAGACAGGGTGAAAAAGAAAAACAGAGGGATAAAAATGAGCAGGGAGGAGGAAAAGAGTCGGATTAAGAGGAGGTGAGAGGAAAATACATGGAGACAGTAAAAGTGATTAAGTACGGGGATAAGGTGAAAAGACCCTGCATGATCCCGAGGCTTTCTCCAAAAGCCATGCTGGGACCATCTGTGCTGCAGCCTGGGGTCCAAATTGCTCAATCTCAGCCTCCAAGTTGCATCAGCTGCTTAGCAAGGCCATAACCCTGAGCAGGACTCACCAGTCCCCGCTGCCCACCCTGTGGCGCCTTACCTGCTCGTGGTGCTCGATGCCCATGCTGATTGTGTTCACTAGGATTGCGATCATGATCCCACGGTTGAAGTACTTGCTGTCCACAATCCCTCGAAGTTTGACCCTCACTTCTCGCCACATGTCACTGCAAAGCTTCAGCCGCCCGCCTTCTTCCACCTCCTCCTCCTCCTTTTCCAGTGCCGAGGCACCTCGGGCCTCTCTGCTGCCCTCTCCCTCCTCTTCACTGGCTCCTCCGTCCTCCTGGTCTGAGTCAGCGCTATCCAGGACAGAGAGCCTTCGGGATGCTTCGTGCTCCCCTCTGTGGCATCGGGGGCAGTTGGTGGGATCAGAGGTTGCCGTCACAGCAATGGGCTGGACCAAGCCCTGAGGAGGGCAGTCAAGAGAGTTGTGCTGCTGGCAAAGTCCTGGAGAGAGAAACGATCATGCTTAATGGAGAAGGCTTTGAAAAAGACATCCAAACTGGGGAGCTGTTTGGCTTTTTGGGTGTGCAGACAGGGTAACTGGGGCTTTTTAGCTATAAGGGTGATTAAACACTGGCACATCATGTCAAGGGCAGCAATAAAAGCCATTGCTGCTGAGGGCTTTACACTGACTGGCTGTGTCACCAAAAGGCAGGGTACTGTTCAGCTGCCAGTGATTAGACTCAATGGGGGTTCACGTCCATCAGAGGAAGAACTGTTTTGTCTGATGCAGGAATCACAGCTTGAGACTCAGTAGCATGTCTTAAGTGGGAACTGAGGGGAAAATGATCACGAGGGCTGCTTTTGGCCTGAACAGCTACAAGTGGGGTCTGAGAACCTACATGCTGAGCTGAACTCTCTAAATTAGGGAAGCCACATTAGCAAAGCATCTCAAGAAGCCAGAAAAGGTAACACAAGAACAGTTCCTCCTGATAGTCCGTGCCCTCTGAATCAGAACAGATCTGCTCACTTCAGTGAGAAAACTGTTTGTGTTCCTCTGTCCTCCAGTTGGGCCTGGAAGATCAAATGGGGGAATGAATCAATTAATTCATTAACACAGTGCATGAGGCCTGCAGAAACTCCCAGCAAGTAAAGAAGAAGAAAGACTGAGTGTGCAGGACCAGCTGAAAAATCTGCTTTTTTGCTTGTTAACGGGAGCATTACTTACGAAAGGCATTGTAAGGCTGTTAATACTAACTCTATTAAACTATTTTTACAGTCACTTTTCAGGCCAGGAATCCAATTTAAATGGCATTTCGTGTCTAATTTTACACAACAGCATGTGCTCCCATCAAGAGAAATTGTCTTCATTGCCCATGCATGCCAAACTGACTTCTTCAGTAGTGCTCCCTTGGTCCAGGAGGCATCCTACGGCAATTCTGCTCCCTTTGCCTCTCTCTTGAGGTCCCACTGCAACTCAGCTTGGGAGGAGAATTCTGGGGAACCTGGTGTGTCACCCAGTCCAATGCTTAGTCCCATGCTCTTATATGCCCCCCCTAATTATCTCTCCTAGACTGCTTCCATCTTGCTATACCAGACCTGGAGCCCATTACAAGCCCCAGTCAGTGTCTTTAGTGTTGTCCCATTATGGTCTCTGGGTTTCAGTCCTGGGTTTCCCATGTTCCCTGCTGGTCACCCTGGTTACATTCCCATTCCTGCTGGCCATCTCCACTTTGCTGGTCTGGTGTACCAGTCATGGCCCCATGCTCAATGGCCAATGTCAATTCTAATTCTATGCTTTGCAGGCACAGGTCCTTTGGCAAGCTGGCACATGGGGATGCTCCCAGTTACTCTCACATTTCCACTGTTGGCATTTCCAGCTTTACCCATGAAATCCTTACTGTAGTGCCTCTGGCTTTTCCTGTTCGTGCGTAGCTTGGCATCGCTCGGCTCCACGTGGCCCTGGCGCCAGCTCTGTATGCTGTTGTACAGCCCAAGGGTACGGCGTTTGGCCTTGCGCATGATGTGGCAGACGTATTGGAAGATCTCCTCGTAGCAGTCTCCTGGCTCCATGTAGCTTGCGACAGTGCTGGACGAGAGGTACCGGGCCCGCTGCTCCTGCATCAGCTGGTGCTCCCGCTGCTTGGTCTCTGAGAACTGCGTGGCAATGACCACCAGGCACAGGTTAATCATAAAGAAGGAGCCCACCTAGTAGCAAAGGAGAAAGAGGGACAGTCAATGTCAGCCAGAGGAAGAACATCGAGGAGGGGAAAGCGACCGGAGGCAGACAGGAATGGGAACCGGTCTGCATATGGAGAAGGGTTTTCAGAGAAAGCCGGGACTGGCTAAGGTTGTTTTTGAGAACTCACTCAATGTCATTTCCATGAAGAATTTAGAGCTCTGAACTGAAATTCAGGAAACACAAGCCCTATTTTCAGATCTTTGGCAGGTTTTGGGACCTTTAGCATGTCACTGAGAAGTTAACTACAAATGGTTTGATGAAAACTGGACTTTTTCTTTCCCTCTCCTTTGTGTTAAACAGAAGGTGGGAGACAGACAACTAGTTTGGTTGTTTTCTCCTCTGCTTACTCTTTTATTACTGGAAAAATCATGCACTGTCATTTATAGTCGTCAATCCCTGGAGGACATGTCAGTATACTTAAAGCATTTTATTTATTTCTACCATTTACACTTTAATTCACCATACAGAGAGATGGCACTTTGCTGAAATGAATCGGTCTTTGAAATCAAAGAGGAGTTTACAAAAACTAATGATTTTGAGAAGGACACTAAATAGTCTGGCAAAACAGTGTTTCCTTGCTCATTTTCTGTTCTTCTGATTTTTCTGATATATTACAGATATTTTATATTAGCTCTTACTTTACTTGTCCTCCAGCCTAGGTAGGATTTCCATTTCAAACACAAAACCAGTCACAACCCACTCCCCCAGTTTCTTAGAAACAAAACAAAATACCCAAGTTCTTCCTATTCTACACACAGAAGCCAATACGTTGATCAGGCTTATTTTACACCTTTGCATGTTCCCTTTAAGCTTCCTTTGCCTCAGCCTTCCTATCTGTAAAATGGAGCAAATATTCCTTAGTGCTGAGAGATCTGGAGGTAAAAATCTCACTCTCAGTGTAACGTATTATGAAATTACAGGTCAATCTCCACTAGAAGAGACTCCATTACACTCAAGATAAAACCTGGGCTTCCATATGATGAGAATTCCACACATAAAAGGGCCGAAAACCACGCTCAGTTCTCAGAAGCTACGATGCCTTGATTGGTGCCTACTCCCCATAGAGATGTAAGTGGCAATATGGTATTGATAAAACGCAGAGTCTGATCTCTGAACAAGGACCACATGTCTGTGCTGCTCTGAAATGGACTCTGCAGGGCAGCCCCCGGGAGGAGAGAAAACGCCAGCTCAAGATTTCTCCTTCCCCTGGACCAGGGAGCATCCCTGCTAAGGGACATCCTCGCACCGTGTTCTTCTTGTACAAACTCTCACAGGACACAGTCTCACCTCCCCATCTCTCCTCTCCAAGAAATAGCCTTAACATAGAGCTGAATTCAGTCCTGCCCTTACCTTCACATGTGTGTCCTCCCCCACGTAACCCTTCCAGCAAAGAGGAGAGGGCAAGCAAAGGTAGCGATAACCTGACCCCAATCCTCGTGCATGGAAAAGGTGCAGGTTTTTTCAGCAAGTACCCCAGCTCATTTTAGCTTTCCAAGCAGCCTTCCCCTCAGTGCACAGCCCTTGCCTCTCCCCCATCAGCTTGCCCCCTTCTTTTGCATACTGAAGCCCAGCAGCTCTGCCCAGAGGCTCAGTACAGTGGCCCTCAGTATTTCAAAGTCTGTGCTAGCATCTGAACAAGCCTTTGAAACATGAAGCCCTTTCCAACCAGATTCAGCATAAGGACAATAAACCACCTCAAAACAAAGGGCTTTTTTCCCCCATCCTCCTCTCAGCACCCTTCAAAGCTGTTCTAATTCTGTTTCTCTTCATCACTGAACCCTTCTCTTCCCTCTCCTCCCACCCATATTTCAGCCTATTTTCCCTTCAGCTTCTGTATGTGGCCTTGAAAATTAAAACGATGTCTCGTTCAGATTCCTCCACCTTCCCCCAAGATTTTCTCTAGTTCATGATGTTTTGCATATTTTCACTGATGAGAGTATGACTGGGAATCCAAAATCTTCTCTGATGCACTCTCCTGCCCTCTTCCCCCTCATCACCATACTGCACTCACACAGGTTTGGCCATTCAGTTACCTCCCTCTGCTTGCCCTGAGTGAGGCAAGGTTGGGAGTTGGACACCAACTGTCCACACATTTCTGGAAAGCTAATTGTGACCCTGCCTGGGCCTTTGCAACTTCCAACAACTCCACAGACAACAAGTGATTAACACTTGCAACAGCTTCTCTCTAGGCTACAAACAGAGGAGCTGAGGGCACCAAGATGCCCTCAGCAGGGTCACGGTGTAAGCCTGTGGTTGAATCCAGGAAGGAGTTCAGGTTTCACATCACCAAGCCTTGTCCTTACAGGCACCATTTGCTGGGATTTCCCACCAGATGACCAAAAAGGGGAGGAGTGGATATGGCAACTAACCCCCAACTCTTGAACCTCTTAGTGAGGAACATCAAACACAAAATAAATGAGCTTCTTTAATCCTTAAGACGGCAGGCAAGTCCATAAACTCTAAGGCTCTGCTGAGCTTCACGCTGCCTCCCAGCCAGCAGAAGGACAGGAAGGGTCCCAGATGGCTCATAATTGAGCAATCCATCTCAGCTAGCTGAGCGAGGAGACTGAAAGTGTCTGACATGGAGTCAGACAAAGCATCTGACAGAGGCAGAAGGAGAGCACTGATTCAAAACCCCAACACAGGAGTCCCATTCAGTCCTGAGACTGAACTGTACTTGGATTAAGCAGAACCTGGCCTTGTTCAACCCAAGGTTCAATCCCTGTTTCTAACAAAATATAACTGGTGCTAGAGATGTGACATATTTATTTGCTCATTACTTTTATTAATTATGCCTGGATATCCAGCTTGTCTTCTGAAGCCCACATATGTAATCACAGAGCACTTCAAGGCAGCCACTAAGTGCTGCAATGTGGAGGTCAGCCGGAGAGTTCAGAAGAGCTATCTCTAGTCCAGGAGCCACATCAGTGGCCACGTAGCTGGAGAAGTGACAAAGAGGCAGCTGGACCTCCAGCAGGAAGACTCAAATGAAACACCGACTTGAGATGTGAAAGCAGTCCTGCCTTCATGTCACTTCCCTGATCTCTGGCAGAGGGGGAAGTTATTTACACTTTGCTTAATATGTAAAATATTTTTACTAGGTTGTTCTGCAAGGCCACTCTGAGTGCAATGGTCAGCCAGCACCCTTCCCCTCAGGGGAGTACAGCTATGCAGGAGTCCTAACCATACTGGGAATATATCCAGGTGGTGGAGCCTTCTTCCTGCCGGATGAGCAGTAGCAGGTAATGCCCTTATGTAGGTGTCCGTGAGGGAAGGAGACATCATGGATGAAAGCATAGCTCTGAAAATGAGGCTGCGGAGATCTGTCCCCAGAAGAGCCAGTTTGAGCCAAGGCTAAAACGTATGTGGAAAAGCAAAGGGTCAGGGCTTGAAGTACAACTGTCAGAGCAATCCTGCTTAGACACCCATGCCATTCAACCATGGAGAAGGAGGGAGGGATAAAGGATGGAAGGACTGGGCTTCATGAGACTTGAAAAGGGGTTCTCATTTCTTTAAGAGGAGGGAAAATGAAACCATGTGATCACAAGTTCACACTATGGTGTTGCTGTGTGCTGCAAAAGATGCATTACACGTGCAAAGAAGGTAACAGAAAGGCTGAGTACTTTCTTCATGTCAACCCACCAACGGCAAAGGAAATACCCCATCTAGCATATGGCTCCTTTGTTCTGAGCAGTCCCCAGAGTAAGTCGAGGTTCATGTGCTCCTGTGTTTGATGGAAATAAAACCTACATGGCTTCTGCAAATGAGGAGGGAGTGTCTAGAAATGTCAATGACACTCTGCAGTAAAATCTCAGGCGGAGTGTTTAATTGAGGGTTTTCAGCCGCCTGCTAATTCAGAGGCAAAGTTTGAATCACTGGGAATCCACATGAGGTGAGCCAGCACTAAAAAGATGCTCCTGTTTAGAAACCAAAAACATGCTGACAGAATTTATGTCGTTTGGAGCAGAGGGTGAGGGGCAGCTGAACTGGCCTGCAGGAAATGGGCATGCCCACCCCAAAGGTTAAACACTGACTCTGCACAGCCCTTTCTGGCTCCGGGAGAGGCTGTGTCTGGGGCCAGGAGTAAAGTCTGTGCCGACCTGCATGTTGCACAAATCTGTGTATCCTGGCCACGCCGCTCAAAACGAAAATGCAAATAGGTGCTAAATATCTATTGCATGGTGGGAGGTCTGAACAAACTTTATGGGAAATAATTGTTTTCTGAACTTACAAAAAGCAGTGGATGCTCAGTTTGCCTTTGGGAATAGAGCTGGGGGGAATTCTCCTCTCATCCTGTGCAATCATACCTCTGCGTTGTCTCTCCTTGGCACTCTCCAGCCTCAAAGTAAAAACAGCATTCCTCAAGGTGTATTTGACCTCTGCTTTCCTGGCTTATGCTGTAGCCCAACTTTCAGGGCTACTTTCTGGTTTTTTTTCCTCTCTGTCTTTCCCTTGTGATGGTAGAAGGGCAGAAGGCAGGGAGAAATCAAGGATACCACGAAGATTCGAGGATTCTGCTTTTCAGTAAGTTGTCTGACGTGAACAGACCAGCAGACCTTTTTTGTGCCACTCCACATACGCACAGGCTACAGGCTTTCTCCCAGAAACTGGATTAAGGTTTGTTTGCTCTCAAGTCATTGCACGTCAATTTGAATTTAAACTAGATCCTGTGCCAGGTGAGTTTACTTCTAGAGATCCTACTTCTAGGAGGGCATGACCATATAGGACAAATAGTAGCTGCAAAGTAGAGTCTTAGCCAGGTCCTTTCAACAGCCCATCCAAATGTATGTAGGCTTTGGAGATACCCACTGAGGTCCTTACTGCGTGGGTTATCTAGAATTAAAGTGCACTTTGGGTGTACAGATTTTATACTTCTCATAATCCATCCTAGGTCTTTTCCTCCTAGTCTTGACTTTGGTCTCTTTGTGGGAAAAGTGCAAGAGTCTTCATAAAAACAGCATCCTTCCTTGTTAGAAATAGAATGTTCCCTCCAAGAAAATGCATTTACACATGGGAGGCTTGAGGAATGGAAGAGACAATGGCATCACGTTTCTCACCTCTCTCTCCAGGCACCACCACCAAACGTCCTTACAGCAAAGCAACTTTCAACCTTCACTTTATAAATCCATGGGGCTTATAAACTGTTTATTAAGTTCTCATCATGGACACACTTCTCTCTTTCCTTCCCCACTAGCCACAAGTGATCTCACGCAGCCAGCTTATGTTGGACTGCTGACACTTTTGGAGCAGCAGCTCCTTTTTGTTCATGGTGAAGAAGTAATTCAGCATGACAGACCCTGAATCTGATAAAATCTGAATCTGAGACCCTGAGTCTAAGAAATCCAGGTGCTGCCAAAAGCCATAAAAACATGTCTCAAGAATGACCCAAGAGCTTAAGATGTATAAAGAGACCAAGTAGGAGGGCAGATGCAGAAAAGGTTTTCTGAGCTTTTGGGCCTACCGGGTTGGGGAATTAACTCTGAAAGAAAATCTGTGGATGAAAACATTATCCTACACTGCGTATATATATCTCTAGGAATCGATCCTGAGCATATTTTCTGAGTGAAAGAGAATAACCTGGCTGACAACTATGTGATTCTGCCACCGACTCTTGGTGACAATCAACTAGCTGTGTTCCTGGGATTCCTAGAAGAAATCCAGGTAAAGTAGCTTGCTTCCAAGTATCTGTGCTGACCTAACACCTGTCTTTTCATAGGATCTTAGTTTACAATGCTGACAGTCATCAAGGCTTATACTTACAATTATCAGCAAGATAAAGTAGATAAAATTGTAGAAGGAATGGGCATCCATCACGTAGTACATAATCTCCACCCACCCTTCCAATGTGATCACCTGCAAAGACAAACAACAACAAGAGAAATAGGAGGGAAGTGGGCTTCCAGAGTTCACTCCTCAGTATACAGGCAGACACTGGCAGAGCTGTTACAACCCAAGGAAGGTGAGAAACAACAATTCATTTTAAGGAGGCCAAATTTCCATTCCAGGAAATCAGCGTGGTACTGCTTGGTGGCACTGGCATATTGTCAAAGCCTGTGAGATCATGCTAGTCCACAGCAGGAATATTTCATTAAAATAGTTCATTTCCCTGGATCACAGCGGGGGAAAACCCACAGGACGTTTCTGTGCCCCTTGGACTGGACACCGCGTACAGCCGGCAGAAAAGAAAAAAGGGATGGATTTTAGCTCCCATCTACAACACGTGCTGGAAATTAGAAATAAATAGACTCTTTTGCTATAGTGATCTGGATTGAAGGGAAAACTGGTACAAGTCAGCCTGAAGTATGTAGCTCATTTCAGCAAAAGCCTGGAACGGGTCTATGTTCCTCCCCATCTTCAGGAACACCGTTTGCAGTGGGCTTGGTCTCTCTTGCCAGAGTAGGCCCTTTTCTCTCTGCAGCTGTGTCACACCCTGCAGAAACCATCATGGGAGCAAAGAAAGAGACTGAGTTGGAAAAAAGAAAACTGGATTGAGCCTTGTTAGGAGGCTAACTCAGTCTTACCTGAAATATCACGATCCAGGCATACCCAATGTTGTCAAAGTTGATGGCACCCTTGTGTGGGTTGGCATTGCCTGTACGGCACACGTTGTAGTACTGGTTCCAGTTGACACACATGCCACTGATGTTGAACTCTTGACGGACTGAGTTGTAGTAATAATAATCGTCCTTGTCCAAGCAACATTCATGGCCCCGCTCCTTCAGTGGGGGTATCTCATGACAGCCCATAATTCCATTGTCTCCTGACAATGAGCAGATAAAGGGCATCTCATCATCTTCTTCAGGTTGGTAATAAGGGGGCAGGACAATGTCACCTTGTCTGTAAGGATAAAAAACCCACAGTTATAAAGTTCCTTAAGAGAAAGTTTCCCATCAGTGACACTGGTAGAGCTGGTAAATCTCATGCTGACATAGGGACTGCAGTGGGTAAGGGATTTCCAGGTTTATTGCCTCAGGAGAAGGGAAGGGAAGACAGGGCTCCTGAAAAACAGGAAATTTCCAGGGTGAGTTCCTAGTTTTCATAACTTTGCCTGCCATCAGATCACCCCAAGCCAACTTACACAACCTGCTCTCACAGAGATGAAGAAAAGCTGGAATGCAGAGATTTGCATTCTGATCACTCTCCCCATTAGCATCAAAGCTAAATCAGATGCAGTGTTGTTAAGGAAGTTCATCAGGCTTCACTGTGATGTGCTCATGTATGTAACCGTTGATGGACATGTTTTATAACATTTGGCAGTGAACCTTCTGTACTTCTAAAAAAAAAATAAAATCCAGTTCATGCATAATTAAGGTTGCACAGCTAAGCCTTAAAACCAGGAAATGCAAAGTTAAAATTGACTTAACCTTAACTTTGACTCCTCCTTGACAGTTGGCATTATGGGTGCAATGTTTCATGACAAGTTCACATGCTTTTTTCCAAATAATGCAAGCACCTTCCAAATGCATGAATAATTAAAATCATCTATGCTTGCCTAGCTGGAGATGAGCTAATGATGAGGAAAGTGAAAGATGGAGATTTAAAATTTTCCATTAAACTTTATCTGGTGCATTCCTTCCAGTGCTACAATACACAGCTTTCAGTGTCGCATGAATGCAGACTTTTTCACTAGGTGTCATTGGAAGAGGACAGGTGTTGATGAAAAAGAAAAGAAAGTTTCTGATTCTAAAGTAAGTGGGACTAAACCAAAAAGATCTGCCATTACATCATTGCAGAACTGGGTGCCTGCAAACTTAATTTCTCTAGTAATGGTCAGCCAAAGGTTTTCTAATATCTGTTACTTTGCAGGGCTGTGGCCCCGATTCACTTCTCAGTTACATCAACTCTGCATGGATGTAATTACAGTCATTTCGGTAGTACTACTCCTAATTTGCATAAAGGACAATCATCATAAACATTCGTTTTTCCCCAAGGAATATATAAACACAGTAAATGGCAGCTTTAAGCAGCTCCTACTCTCCAACCCCACTGCTGTTCTGCAGATTATATTTTCACACATTTTTTTTTCCAATTTGAGATGATCTAAAGCTTCAGAATTGTTTAATCAGTCTAAACTGATCTACAGCTTTAGGTTTTTTTAAGCAGTCTAAACTGATAGGACGCCTGGGATTAGCATACTGTCTTAAGAAGACATTTTAAAGCCTGAGATCTGCTCAAGCCAGAAAGTCAACAGGAGGAGCTGTGCCCTGGACATGGTACTCTGCTCCCCGGGAGGGTAACTGGAGAACTGGCAGCAAGCAGGAGCTTTTCCACCCCACTGCCTCTGGGGAGGAGGAGAGCTGTGATCTGCAGGCCCCCCTAGAATAAACCTCAGATACCTGTAATTGACCCCTGTGTGGCTCCAGGCTCTTTGCCAGAACTGCGTCCACATTTCCCCATGGTGGGTTGTTTTTTTTTCTGGTCCCATTCAAGCAGCCATTTTTCTCTTTCAGATGGTCTCATTTCTACTAACTCAACTGTAGGACAGCTCTCACAACAGCCCTCTGTCCCTTCCCCATGGGACCTCCCATGAGCAATTCTACTCCTGATATTTTCTATGTCCCTCCAAAGCCTCTGGAAGCAACACGTTGCTATCCCAACAGTGATCTCGGCTCCACCTCGAAGGTGCCAACAGTGTCCCTGGAAGCATCAGGCAGCACTATGGTTTTCCATAAGACTCATCTTGTTTTTCTGAAGAGGAAGCAAGTCCAGGAGAAAGACAGTGTTGCTGGTGTTTCAGTGTCAACTATTTCTGGGAGTAGGATCAGCATTTTGAATCCCTGGACATGGCCAGAGGAGGCAAATAAGCATTTTGAATCCCTGGACATGGCCAGAGGAGGCAGCTATGCCAAATGAGCCCAGCCATCTCTGGACCATGAAGACAGACTAAAAACAGCTGCCTCTGCCCTCCCGCTCTTTCCAGTCACTGCAAGACATGGCCAATGCTCTGAATGGTATCAACGTACAGCCATTTAGAGTAAGAAATACACAGAGAGAGGGGCAGCAGAGTATAGCAGAGCAAGGAAGGGGAAAGAAAAATGCCCCTGGAAGAAAGGAAAGGGACACTGTCTCCCAAGCACTCACATTGTGAAGTTTTCCTCCATGAAGCAGCGGTTGCGGAGCAGCCCAGCCCACAGCTGCACCCCGATGATGCCGAAGATGAAGAAGACAAAGAAGCAGAGAAGAAGGACGTTCCCCAGCATGGGCAAGGTGTCCAGGAGCAAGTTCACAAGGATGCGCATGCCTGCAAGAGGAGAAGAGAGCCAGAAAGAGCAAGTGTGGGATGCAGGAACAGAAAGGGGGAAAAGGAAGGGAAGAAGAGGGAAAAGAAAGAAAAATTCAGGAGACATAAAAAAGCCACATGAAGATAAAAGCAGACTGTCGGAAATTAATTACTGCCCAAACCAGGCTAGATTTATGATCGTTGCCCTTTCTTGTCCTAACCTCTACTGACAGGCAGCCAGCAGAGCTGCTGTGATGCCGTGATCTCTTAACCCTAGGCCTCCGTCTGCAGCAGCGAGAAGAAAAGGGAATGAGACTTCTGTTACCATCAGCTATCTGATAGCCCTCCCTCCCCCTTCCCTGCAGAAAGGCAATGGAGTGAAAACTCTGCCCCAAAGGTGCACAGCAGCTCAACCGCCCCATCCTCAGACAGCTCAGGCTGAAAGTCGTCCCAGTTTCATGACCGCACGCTGCAAACCATGAGAACTGCATTGACGGCCCAAGGCCAGCCTGCCCAGCAGGATGAATCTTTCCAGCACACACAAACAACTGGCATAAATTGGTCTTCTCAGTGACAGTCTCATGAGGGGACAGCCACGGAGCCACATTCCACTCCTGTCTAGTCCTCCATACCCAATAGGGCTGGAGCACACAGGCAGAGGGCACAGCCTGAAATGCTGTTGGCACAGCACCTTTGTCCCTTTTTTTTTTTCCCTTTTTTTTGTTCTAATTACCCAGTGAATTCTTGCTCTGGTTTTATTTCTCCCTGATTCTTCAACTCACGTAGTCACAAGTAGGGGTAAGGATTGGGCTCGTTTCTCCACGGAGCTAATGACTATTCCTCTGCTCTCTTGGGATGGTGAAAGTCTAGAAATCCTTCTGAGCACCGCTGTACCACCTTTACCCTTGCACACACCTCGTGCAGTTGTTTCTCCTTGCCTCCATGGAGGTCCCTCCCCCAGGGGCTCAGGGAGTTCCTTCACTGAAGATCTTCCATGTAGGCCAGCAAATAATTAGCTAATTAGGTATTTATAACCAGTTCATTACTTCAGATGGCGGTGGAAGGGGGAAAAGGAGGGGAAGATGAGATTAGGATTCTCTGACAGCCCTTTGAGGCTCAAGTTAATCCCCCTTGTGTGCCCAGCGTCAAGTAATTAGTCACACGATGCTGTGCACTGGGCTCTATCTCTATTCCCCAGGCTGCTCCCGCCACAGAGAGGGGAGGGAAATGGTGCCTGCGGGGGGCACACAGGCCTGGGGTGCACACACAGCAAAAGGCAGGGAGAAAGGTGCCTGGTGTGGAGAATCGGACTGGTTTAACTCAGGAGGGAATGTTTCAGGGACAGATGTGGGTGGGAGAGACAGGAGCGGCATTTGCAGGTAGGTGATGTGTGGGAAGGAGAAGATGCTTAGAGGATGGCTGCATGGCATCACGAAGGATAAGGAATGATGGCATTAGCCCTAAGGCCAGGCTGTGGAACAGCAGCTAAACCCTGCTTGCCTGACTGCCCAGCTGTACCACTAGTCACCAGTTAAGGCCGTTTCCAGACAGCACATCAGTAACTCAGCAGCGCAGGGGCGCAGCTCCAGCTGCTCACTGGAGATCGTGGACATGCCCTGAGTCACGGATAGCTTTCTGATCTGTCACCTCACAAAGCCCCACAGCATAGCCACAGTGCCCTGCTGCCTGTCGCTGTGACCTGCCAGGCTCTGGAGCAACGCTCGGCACAACACTTTGGCTTTAAGGCCACACACCCTCGCCGCAGTGCAGCCTGTTCCCAGCATTAATGTCGCTTCACAGCACGAACTTGGTAGTTCCCATAAACTATCCTGGTCAGAACATTAAGGAGAGCCAAGTGACATGGGAGACCGTGCCAGCAGTGCTGCAAGAGGGGGTGATGTTTTTCAGATCAATTGATACTAGCTCCACCTCAGAACAGAGGAAATGGGAAGAACGAGACTGGCCTTATGCTGAAACACAGAACAGATAGAACAGACATTCCCACCAGAATCATACAGACAACACACTTGCTGAGCCAGAATTTGTAAAAATTGGTTTTTTCCATGTTCCAAGAGAAGACAGGTGACTTCCATTTCTAAATCCAAATGAAACCAAATTTTTACTTTTAAAAAATCTCCCAATCGAATAGTCATCCATATCTGCTCATTGATGCTGACTGTGGATACGAGATTGGCTTTTCCAAAAGCAAGAACACTGAAGCTACACCTATCCAAACATCAATTGTAATTCTCCTATGTGCCAACCACCTCTAAAACAAATTCATCACTTTACTTTGTCCAAAGCCTCTTTTGCTTCCTGCACTAAACTGCAGAGCAATTGCTCTGGGACCCCACTTTTCACCAGAGGCACCAGTTGTCCATCAAATGGGCCTCCTCTGCTGAGTTCACTCAGTCAGTGCAGGTACTTCAACTACTACTTCCATAGGGAAGAAAGGCACACTGTAAATACAAGTTCAGTACCTTTTTTCTCTTCACTTTGTTAGCCTCCCCTGCTGCCTGCAATACTCATGCCAGAGTCCCTGAGCCCCATCCTCTGCTATAGCATCTTGCCAGTACCCCCCCTGCACCTGTGCTAGCCCCTATGGGTAATCTGGGGGGAAGCCCTCACAGCCTCCCCATTCCCTCCTGAGCCAGCAGCCCTGCATGGGTCTGTTCACACCCAGGGCTTTGCAGTCCCCTGGACCCAAGAAGGGATGGGTTGGTCTAGCAGCCACGCTAAGGCAACTGCTGCATATCTCCAGGGAAGCACCCTCACTGCCAAATGTGTGAATGCTTTCATGGGCAGGAGATGAGCCCCACGCAGGAACGACCCACAGAGCAGTGTGTTTTGGGGTCTGCACAGCCTGACTGGGAGCAGGTTGCAAACAGTCCCTAGTTACTCAAGCACTCATGAGGTGTAGGGGAGAAAGAGGGAGAAGGGCTGAAAAGCCTAAGGATAGAGGGTGATGACTTACTGCAGACCCTGGTGGCTGAGGTAACAAGGTCTCTAAAGCAGCTGCAGGACAATGGAAACAGGCAGATATCTTGTTTGTCAGTGAAGCTCTGGGAGCATCCTGCCCTGGAGAACTAGAAAGCCTCTCTTTTCCAGCCTTTGCTGGACAAGCCCCCATCCACAGCAGCACTGGTGCAGAGAATCGTAGAATGGTTTGGGTTGGAAGGGACCTTAAAGATCATTGAGTTCCAACCCCCCTTCCATGGGCAGGGACACCTTCCATGTAGTAGACCATGTAGCTCAAAGCCCCATCCAGCCTGACCTTGAAATCTTCCATGATTCCCTCTTGAAGGTGCTGGAAAGCTGGTTCTTTGGCAAAATCCTTCTGCACCTTCCTTCCTACCTTCCACCGCCTCTGCCTGCCTCTCTGCTCCTTTACTTTTCTCTCTCTGTGCCTACATCTTCTCTCTGCCTCTGCACCGCTCCACAGTGTATGTGCGCTCATCTCCTGGCCTCCCTCCCCACTGCTGCCTTTCCCCACATCCCTGTTTGTCCTTTACCATTGGCAGAGCAGAAGCCACGCTGGCTCACAGCAAGGAGGGAATATAAAAGGGACAATGACCTTTTCTGAAGCAGCCTTTGAAAAAAGGAAACGTTCCCTGAGAAGAGAAAGGAAGAGGGGCTGGGCAGTCTGGAGGAAAAGTAGGGAGGGAGAGCATTGATGAAGCAACATTCAGCAACCAAACAGGCTCCCAGGGCATCAAATATGAAAAGGTTTTGCTCTTCAAGGGGAAGAAAAGCTAGAAACATGAAATATTCATGAGTGCCAGGTGTGGGCTCTGAAAGGTCTTTTCTCTTCCCCACTCACCCTCACGAGGAGATCAGGGGAAAGGAGGAAACAAAATGGCATCGGCTGTGGGCATCCAAGGAAGGATCCTCACGAGACAATGCTCAGATAATTCTCTGCTGCTCACCCATGCCCTTGGGCAAGGGGTGGGGAAGGGTGCTTGACTTCGATGGCAGAGCTACTCCTGGTAGGGTATCCTGCAAGAACAAAACCACAAGCACAACCGCTTGTGTTCACCGCTCCAACACGGCAGTGGACGTCAGGGGGAAAGCACATCGCAGGAATAAGAAGCAGCGGGAGGAGGAAGGAGTGCTGGGGAGTGAGCTGTCAGAAGGACACGGAGGGCTGTACAAAGCCAAAAGATGAAGCAATGTAGCCGAACTCCCTCCTCGGTACGGGCAGAGCAAATCCTCTGTCTCACCCCGGCAGCATCCAGAGGCCCTTCCTGACAAACTCTGCAGACGCTACAGTGACCGCAGCTCCCTCCAGACACTTGCCATCAACCCTGATTAGCCTGGCCGTCACAGCTAAGCAGACTCACCCAGCGTGTCCCAGCCCCAGGGAAAGCGTGGCGGTGGCAGTGAGCAGCTGGGGCAGGGCTGGGGTGGAGGTGACCTCTGGGCAGCCGGAGCTGGCCATGCAGTGCAGGTGTGTCTGGTGGCTCATCACCCCTGCTCCTGCTCAGCATCGCTCTGCCGCTTCGCCTTCTCTCCACCTGCCTCTTTCCAAGAGTGAGGACCAACACCTGAGCTGATTCACTCCCTGGCCCTAATCACCCCATGATCTGAAAGAGGACCGGCTCAGGAGAGGGTGAGAAACCCTGTTCTTTCTGGTTTCTTCTATCTCACCCACCTCTGAGGCTTTTGAGTCCTCCCCAGCTCTTCAGAGAGGGACAAAGCTAACATGCGCAGAGTCAAAATGAGATAGTGGTTAGAGAAAAACAGATGGAAAAGAACATAATTCTCAGCACCCATCTTATCTGCATCATGGGCCAAGCCACCAATTGTCATTTTAACTGGAGCAAAAGCAAATCTCTTCCCCATCAGCATTTGTGACAGTAGCTGGCAGGACATTTTGCAGAATGCAGAGACCAAAAGCATCGTTTTGTCCCTCAGCCAGGCCACTTGTCCAAGCTCACCTTCTTTCCTTCCTCCCCTGCCCCAGGACACATGGCAGTCCATCCAGCTAGTGCGAGGTTGGCAGGATTCTCCTGTGCATGTTT